GGATGCTCACCTTACTAGACCTGGATGGAGGTGGGTGGTCCTTGGACTTCCCACAGGGCAGGGAACCCTGATTGCTCTTTGGACTGACGAGGGAGGGGGACTTGATTGGGGGAGGGGGAGGGAAATGGGAGGTGGCGGTGGGGAAGAGACAGAAATCTTTAATAAATAAATAAAAATAATAATTTGTCAGATATTAACAGCTACCAAAAGGCATCCAATCCAAAGGGAGGGTTTTCATTCCAAACTGCACTTCTGTGTCTTCAGTGATTAACAGCCCACATTTGCCAGTGCTCATGTTAAGATGGATATTCTACAATGGTGCCCACCACTGTGTCTTAAGTATCTGCCACACTCTTTCTTAGGCAGCTACTGTAAGGTTAAATGCCTTTTTCAAGAGAAAGTCTTGGGCTCAAAGAAGGAAGGGCCCTGTGTCATTAATCATTAACACACATGAGGACACGCCACCTGTCAGGCACCAACAGCCTGTGTCACCTGAGGCCCATGCCCAAGGCACACCTAGTGCTCACCTTCACATTAGACTGCTGCCTTCTTGAAAATGTTTCCCCTTACTAGTTTTTCAACAAGAGGTTCTGCATTTTATTATTATCTTTTAAGTAATGTAGCCAGAATGCAGCAAGATAACTCAGGGGTATAAGGGAGCTTGCTGCCAAGCCTGGGGACCTGAATTTGACCTCAAAACCCATATGATGAAAGGATGGAACCAACTCCCAGAAGCCGCCCTCTGACCTCCACACAAACACTGGCACTCATAAACACACACACACACACACTAATGTAAAAATACTTTTAAGATAGTGTAGCCAGCTCTGATATTTATTGCCTTTCTAAGCATTATGCCTGTACTTTACACTAAGAATCTGTGAGATCAGTCAAAATAATTTTCTTTGCAGTTTCATGTGATTCTAGAACCCTTATTTCTTAACTCCAAATCGTTTGCCTCTTCTGTGGCTCTCCATTCAGAAGCACATTTGCACCTAATAAATATATGAATAAAAGCCAAATTCAAGGTAGCCTGGTTTACATAGCAAGTTTTAGGTCAATCAGGACTTAAAAACACTGCCTTAAAAATGCACATGTGTACATAAATGTATGTACATGAGTCAATGGATACATACGTGTCTCCATTTGTGTACCTGTGGTCTGAGTTGTGTAGCTAAAAGAACTGAGCAAACCGCTAAAGCAGACACCAGCTCTTGTACTTGGTTGTTAAAATGCCTTCTGAGACCACAGTTCTGAGAGGAACTTAATGTCCCAGCCTTCCCAACACTGAAGTGTTAGATTCTTCATGTCCCTCATCCTCACTGGAGAGAAACTTACACTGTTCAGAGTCTCAAGTTTCTTATCTGAAGGGTTCATAACCTCCCCACCTAAACTGCATTCTCATAGAGCACCACATGAAGACAACGATGTTGTTGGCTGTGACATCTGAGATCAAAGATACAGAAGATTGTCTCTGTCCTCATGGAACCCATGAACTAGCAGAGGACAAAGTCTGACCCAAGTTGCTAGAGCAGAAGTAAGCTATATTTTGGTGAGGATTCATAGTGCTGAAGGAACATGTCCCATTCCTTCTAAAAACTTTTTATCATTTTGACCTTAAGGTCTACTCAGTAATTAAGCTTGAAACCACAATCACAAGTTCATCTTCACACTCAAGACACCTCTTCATCCAGAACCGCTATTCTTTCTTTTTTTTTTTTTTAAGAAGGGTCACATTAATCCCAGAACTCAGGTGGATCTCTAAGTTTGAGGTCAGCCTGGTCTACAGAGCTAGTTCCAGGACAGCAAGGGCTACACAGAGAAACCCTGTCTGGGGATGGTGAGGAGTTCTCATGTATCTCCGACTGGCCTATTCTATTTGATGTATAGGTCTGGCAGGCCTCAAACTGACAGAGATTTGCCTGCTGCTGCCTTCCAAGTACTGGGATTAAAGTTGTGCACCTCTACTCGCAGCAAAGGCCTGAAATATATCTACATTTTAGGCTGGCAAAATGGCTCAGCAGGTAAAAGGGGGATTACCACCAAGCCTGATGACCTGAATTCAATTCCCAGGACCCACATAGTGGAAGACAAAGGCTACTGCAAATGGTCCTCTGACTACATGTATTCATGTGTGTACCCATATACATACATACACATTTAAAAAAATAAAATTTGCCCACATCTTTACTGGCGTCATTCAACTTCATTAATTCATTTTGCAAGTATTTATTGATCGGGGGAAAAAAACAGTGATCAAGACACACCACAAAACTCAAACTCTACATTGCAGAAAAAAAAGCAAGACAAAATACTAAGAAAATAGGAAGTAAGCACAGAGACTTACACCAGCTAGTTAGGTTTCTCTGTAACTACACTGTCTACGGTGATAGGGGGTGAGATGGCCTGCCCTGCAAACCCACCTCTGAAGACGGTGAAGAACGAGCTCAGGGCTTCATATAAGACCCTCTGTCAACAACCATAGTAAAAAACATTCCGTCCTCTCTTGCCGGGGCTATTCCAACAGTTCCTCTTCTCTACCTCTTTTTACATCCTTCAATTTTCTCTGAACAGCAAAGGGACTTTTTTTCTCTAGTACCGAGGAAGAGTCTGGCATGTGTAGGCATGCACTCGACCACTGAGCTGTATCCCCAGCTCTCTTGGCCTGAGACCGCCTCACTAAGGTGCCCCAGCTGAACACGATCTTGTGATCTTCTGGCCTTAGCCGGGAGTGGCTGGGATTACAGGCCTGAGTCATACCTGTTGTCGAGCTACTGCAACTAAAATCAGACAACAAAATAGAGCTCTGCCCTGAAAAGCGCTTCGATTTTACTAAGTGGAAACAACTCAACCATATATCATTAACACACACTTACATCAGAAAACAGTCGTCGAAAGAAAAATCATGAGAGTGACTGGGGAAGGTGCGACCAGGCTGCAGTATTTAATCGCTCACCAGACCGGTTCAAGCCAATTCTCCAGTCTGATGTTACCTTACCCTCTCCCCGGATTCCCATCTTTTGCTTTCAATACTCTCCCTCTTCACTTGCTTTCTTTACGGCTATATTCTAGTCTTTTTTTTTTTTTTTCAGTTTTGTGTGGGCGTGTATTTATTTCGGCGCGTACATGACTGGGCCCGAAGTGAAATCAGAAAACAAACTTTAGAATTCTTTTTTTCTCCTAGTGGGTCCCAGGATCGAACTTGGGTTGTTGAGACTCGTCGGCCTACGCGTCTATCTTACTTTCAAAGCGCGTGCCCCTCGCGTTTAAGCACTGGTCACATTTCACATTTACTGCTTGTCATCTCATATGCGCTCCTCGAGGATGAGGTGAGAGCCGCCGCGCTCACCATGAACTTGGCACCTACAAGGAAGCTCTTGGGACAAGCGTCCTCCCGGCCCGGAAGAGCAGTGTGGCGCACAGGAAACCGGAAGTCCCTGCCTACACTGGGGGAGGGGCGTGGCTTTCCGGCGAGCGCGGCTCTCCGCTTGGCTGGAGCGCGCGTGCTCGGTGTCGACGTTCTGGTCTGGAACATGGCGGCGCGGTCGCTGTGGGCGGTGCAGCGGCTGCAGCGCCTCCTGGCCTCGGGGCTTATGTCAGAGAGCAGGTAAGCGGGGCGGCGGGGCCGGGCAGGCCGTGGCGTGAGCGCGGCGATGGGCAGCTGTGGGAGGGAAGGCGAGGGCTAACTCGGCGCCAGCGAGGACCGGCCGCAGGCCCCGTGACCCGGCGTCCACGCCGCGTCTCCTGTAAGGGAGGCTGAGGCCCATCGGCGCGCTTTTCCCGGTCAGGGAAGATAAGTGGATCCGAGGCCACGTCCTAGGAGATAGAAGCCAAGCAGGACTGAATCGGAAACGTAACTCGTCCCTAGCCCCTGCGCGCCTGTGTCTTCCAAGGATGTCGTGGGGGTTCTTAGCCAGACTCCATGTGGTCCAGTCACTCCAGCTCTCAGGAGCATCGTTTGACTTGTGTGTAAAAGGAGAGCCATGGACCGTTCCCCAAACGCCCCTTCCACCAGTGAAATTCGTGCCGTCAGTGGCCTGCAGAACTATGGGTAGTCGCTTTTTTATTATTTTGTGTTTAATAACTTGAGGAATCTAGAATTTAGGAAAATTTACCAACTTTTCCAAACAAATCTTAAGGAAGTTACCCCGCCTAGAAACCAGCCGCGGTTCTCGAGCAGGTGCTTTTATATTAGTGAACACGGCTCATTATTCTCAGGGGATACTCCTGAGAAAGAATTTTTTTAAAAGGCTGTCTATAAGTTCGAGAATTCTGACTTGTCAGTTAGCTGCGGGGAAATCCAGGAAATTTGCGTGACCATTTGTCATTCCTTTTCCGGTCTTGATGCACCTGATCTAATACACCCGCCCTACCAGAGCTGTGAGGCCTTGAATTCAGGGCCGGGTGGTTTGTTTTCCTACCTTTGGCAGTTTGTTGGGTGAGGTAAGGAAATAATCAAAGACTAGTTTCTTCTGAAGGAGTAATTGAGCATTGAGCCTCTTCTCTTCAAACTGGTCATTTTGAACAGCTTTCTGTGTATCCGGAAGGGCTGGTCTTTTTGGCTGTGTATAATTTGCCCCAGACATATCTATGATAACTCTATTTTCTGAACCAAATACCTAGTTAGGACCGTGTATCCTAATTGGATACATGGTTTAGTTGGATATCAACACTTAATAAAATTCAGGACCAGCCTGTAAGTCTGGGAAATGCCCTTGATTGTGACACTAAGCCAGCTCTTTGCTCTGCCTAAAGTTCTCTTTTCTTAAAGCAGACTCCTATACCCCCCATCCCCTTAAGCCTTTGTTATCATTTCTGCCACCTCAGTGATCACCGTCCAAGATATGTCTGTGCGTATAAGTAAGAAACTATTTGCTTGCTTTAAAGAGCTCTCGAACCCACAGACTGATTAACCTTGTAAGTTTTTCACTTGGGTCTAGGAGGTATAGTGAAAACTTCCTTAAACTAGAGGTCAGAACTGCCACAGTTGAAGAGCTGCTCTAAACAAGGTCCAAGTCTACATTTCTGTGTACACTGAACTAAATATCAAATATTTTAGTGATACCAAGAGCAAGGGCTCACCTTCCTCTGCCCATAGCAGCCAAGGATGGTTTTGTTTTGTTTTTTATAACAGAAAAGTTTTATTGCAAGGTCAACTGGCAAGGAGGACAGAAGCAGAAAGTTTCCCTCCTTCCCTTGTCAATTGATGGGGAAACTAACAGGCAGAGAGAGGCTGTTTCTCATTTAGATGGTAAGAAGGAGAACAATCTAGGGTTCTTTTCTTTTTTTGGTTTTTCAAGACAGGGTTTCTCTGAAGCTTTGGAGCCAGTCCTGGAACTAGCTCTTGTAGACCAGGCTGGCCTCGAGCTCACAGAGATCTGCCTGCCTCTCTGCCTACCGAGTGCTGGGATTAAAGGCATGTGCCACCACTGCCCGGCTATAATCTAGGGTTCTTTTGTGCCAGTGTAGATGTCATCTTGCCTCTTCACAAGTCATGTGCTTATTAGGGGGAAGTTATGTTTTGTGCTTAGGATTTTGAGCTCGTGATATCAAAATGTCACTGGCAAGCAAACTGGCTTGTGGAACTGTTCACACTTTTGTGGGAAGAAGTTTCAAGACAGGATTTCTCTGTGTCGTCCGTCCTAACTATCCTGGAACTCGCTATGTAGACCAGGCTGGCATTAGACCAGGCTTGCATTGAACTCACAAGAGATCCACCTGCCTCTGCCTCCCAAGTGCTAGGATTAAAGGCATGCACCACTACTGCCCAGCCAGGACTGTCCCTTCTTAAAATGCCTGTTTGAAACTGCCCTTGAATGGATCCTGTAAGCAGTTCCTGAAAAACAATTTCAAATGCTTTGTCAATTAAGGAATGTATGTCCTGTTGTTGGGACCTTAACCATTTTCATTAGCTATGCAAAATTTTAGATTACATAACTAGCTGAACAAGAACTAGTTGACTAAAATAAGGTTCTATTTTAGTGACCTGTTCTGTCCAGAGACAACCAGTCATAATTTCTCTTTCATAGCACAGATTTTCTTCCCTTACAGTGTGTGGCCATAAAGTCTTGGAATTCTAAGTCTGAGTTCCTTTTACTCATTTTCCCCTTCTATAAGATAAAGAGTTAGACCAGAATTGTATAACTTTGTGGCTTCCTGGTGTTAAATATCCTGGCTCAACGGAACACTTGCTCTGCATGTGCCTTTCTTTTGTTTATTGTTTGTTTTGGAGGGAGCACTATTTTTGTTCTTTTGAGACAGACTTTTACTATGCTACCAAATGATTTGCCCATATCAGCCTTCCAGTACCTGAGCTGCAGATAGTCACATGCCACTTTGCCCAGCTTAATTTTTTAGATCTTGACTATGTCATTAAACCTCAAGCATTTCCTCTTAGGGTTTTTCTTCAGTAAAGTAGGGTTTATTGTGAGGAGTGGAGAAAGTCCTCAGTGAGTGAAGTCCTGAGTGAATGCATGTGTCGACATATACAAGCCATGTCAAAACTCCCTCGGACCCGTGGAGGCATGACACAGCCTTCCGTGGGGGACAGAGTGCAGGTGTTAATAGTGTGTGCAGAAAGATTGCTGTAGTATTCTCCCTCCCTGGATGTTTACAACCTGAAGACTGCGCCCCTACAGAGATTACTCCTACTGAGATGAATTTAATTCCCTTGTACACCATAAGCCCTGCCCCCTTGTTTGTCTGTGTGTGATAACCTTGTCTCCTTGTTCAACTTTATGCAATAACTCTGCCTCTCTGTTCGATCTATATTACAAACTATATATAATCAAAGCTTCCAGGGTGCTGGGGTTTCTCCAGACAAGAGCCCTGACTACCTGATCCCAGCTTTCTGTCTTTTCTTCACATTCTCACCACCCCATTCAACTATCCCTGGAGCTCTGCTGGATGCAGCAAGTGGTGCCCAACCAGGGACATGGACAGTGGCTAAGGGAAACTCTTTGGCCAAAGGAGTGAACTCTTCCAAGAGAAGTATGTTTGTGCCAGTAAAAAGGAGGAAAGAGATGAAAAGAAAAATAAAATAAAGGAACAAAGGGAGAGAGGGCAGGCGATTCTAAGTGTCAAGTATAATATGGGACAAGTAGACTCTAAAGATAAGCAATTATATCTCAGTATTTAGAGGTTTTGAGAAATCCTGGAAGCAAGGTAAAAAAAAAAAAATTGCAGTCCCATCAGTGTATATTTAGAAGACAGGCGTCCCTCGGCAGATTCTTTTCACTAGTAGCCTAAATTGATACTGCAAGGCACACGCCTCCCCCCATGGAAATTTCTCTCCTGGATTATTTGGCATCAGAGAAACTGGTATATTGATTAGTGGCCATTTGGCAATGTCAGGTTGGGTATTGACTGCAACCACTGCTTTGGTAGAGAAACAATTACAGGCCAAACACACAGAATGGCCCAATAGTCCTTGAAACACCCCATCTTCGTTACAAAAAAGAAGTAGTGTAAATGGAGGTTGTTGCACGGTTTAAGAGCCATAAAGTCATGCAAGCAGGCAATAGGTCCCTACAGCCAGGACTGCCATCACCTACTGCTACACCATGTTTTCATTTAAACTTAAAAGAACAGCTCCTATGTGGTCAGAATAATACAAGCCTTGGCTACACTGGTCCGAGCCTAGATCAAGAGTTATACCAGAGTTTTTGCTATATTAGTCATATTTAGTCGCACTGAGGTCGCCCTCAGCCATTGGCTGAAGGTAATGCTTGAGTCTCAGGATCCCTGCTCTGCTTCTCTGCTGCTGTGTAGTTTGACTTAATACAAGCTCATTATGGTCTGTAGGTAGTTTTTCATCCTGCCAGCCTACTTCCAAATAACCACACAGAGACTTACCATATAAATGGTCAGCCAAGTCAAGCAGTGGTGGCGCACACCTTTAATCCCAGCACTTGGGAGGCAGAGACAGGCAGATCTCTATGAGTTTGAGTCCAGCCTGGTCTACAGAGGATAGGACGGACTCCAAAGCTACAGAGACCTCTCAAAAAAAAAAAAAAAAACTCTGCCAATAGCTCAAGCTTATTACTAGCTAACTCTTACATTTTAAATAAACCTTTTTTGTTTTGTTTTTGTTTTTCAAGACAGGGTTTCTCTGTAGCTTTGGAGCCTGTCCTAGAACTAGCTCTGTGGACCAGGCTGGTCTCGAATTCACAGATATCCACCTGACTCTGCCTCCTGAGTGATGGGATTAAAAGCATGTGCCACCACCGCCTGGCCCATATTTCTTATCTATGCTCTGCCACATAGAAAATACCTTTTCTCAGTAGGGCAAGTTCATTGTCTCCACGTCTCCTCGAGATTCTCAGATTCCGCCCTTCTTGCTTCCTCACCTGACCTTATCCTATCTAGCTATAGACCAGTCGGCTTCTTTATTAAACCAATCACAATGACATATATTCACAGAGTATAAAGAAATATTCCATAATAGTCATGCCCTTTACCACCAAAATGCTACCTCTTTATGCATTGAATTTGTTTCCTCCCAGGAAGAATGGCTAGGCAGATAGTTAAGCAGTACAACCAATCCTTTTCAGCCTGTCACATGTGAAGTGTTATCCCCAGGGGTTACATCCCAGTGCTCTCTGGCAGATGGATGTTACTCATCTCTCTTCCTTTGGGAAACACAGTGTGTGCGTATTACCAGTGTGTGCAGAAAATGTCTGCGTAGCTTCTCCCCTCTGGATGTTTACAATGTAAAGACTGTTCCTCTACAGAGACTACACCTACTGAGATTAACTAAACCTGTCCCCTTGATCTAACTGTACACCAGAAGCCCCCCCCCCCCCCGCCTTGATGGATCTGTATGTAATAACCCCACCTCCCTAAAGTTTGAACAGTTCTACTGATAAAATGCTGAGCTTCCAGGGTGCTGTGGTTTTTTCCAGTAGTGAGCCTGGACCATGTGACCCCACCGTTCTATCTTCTTCATTCCCTCACTGCCCCAGTGAGGTCCAGTCCTACAGTTAGGCTGGACATGACAGATTATAATAGCATTTGTTTTGTAGAAGCAGTATTTTCATTCTAGTAGAAAAGAAATCCAAACATCCATCAGTTGACAAATGGGTAAAAAGGTGTGGCATCTACACAATGAGCTATTAGCAATAGAAAGTAACCAATTACTGGTAAATGCAGTTGGGGGGGGTGCCTCACCCATCCCCAATGAGAAAAACTTTTTTAGTATACAGCTATAGACTCTAGCTATTAAAGCTCTGATCTGAAATATCATTTCATGTTTTATGTAGGGTTAGACATTATCATAATCTTCAGACCATCTTGGGTCAAAGGAGATTTCCCAGAGCTAAGCAGGTTTTACGGAAGCTGAGATTTGCAAGTTTCTAGTTAAGACATTTTATCTTTAGCTAACATCTGTCTAATCAGATGTCGGTGATGCTCTCTTCTCAGGGGAAAAGAGCAAATGTGACCCTTTTGGGGCTGGGTTGGAGAAGTCAGCAGTTTAGTTTTAGCTCCTGTGTTTCAGGGGAGAGTTCCTTATGTTCTTTTCTTATTCCTCTGTTACCTAATATTTCCTGTTTGTCAGTAAATTCATTCTATCCCTATTCCTTTTATTTAATGAAAAAAAACTTGTTGGTGTTTTTCTCTTATCACAATTACATGAATGAACCTGAAACACATTCTAAGTGAAAAACTGCTTCTAAGTGATCATCTATTATGATTCTGTTGACATTAAGCATCCATAAAAGACTTGTCTATAGAAAACAAAGTATCATCAGGTTTACCTGGGGCAAACAGTGTAGGAGGCAGTGGTAAATGATGTGTGAAATACAAGCCCTTTTATGTGACAAAGATGTTGTGAAATTGTGATTTCATGCACAGACTCTGGGCATGGTAAAAATGTTGACTTGTACACTCTCAGTGGTAAATTGTGTGGCATGACAACTGCATATCATTAAAACTTTAAATGTGTGGGAGTTTGGCCTGCATTATGGCTGCTCCAACTGCGCACCTGCTGCCCACAGAAGGCATTAGATCCCGGAGAACTGGAGTTACAGGTGGTTGTGAGTTGCCACTGCTTAGATGCTTGGAGTTGAATCCAGGTCTTCTGGAAGAGCAATCAGTGCTCTTAACTGCTGAGCTGTTTTTCTCACTTTAATGCTACTTTTAAGAGCACTTTAAAATTTAGTCAATAAAAACGTGAGGTGGATGAAGCAGAAAAAGCTTAGCATCTGTCACCAAGACTGAAGACTATGAAGAGTCAACATGGGGTGCTTTGGGGGCTCTAACTGTTGTGGTTTGCCTTTGTATGGTGGCATTTTTTCATTGTGTGCCACTGCCCTACCCCACCCTCTTAGGGGATGGCTACACCCATTCAGCACTGCCACCCAAAGAACTGCTGGGGAAGACTGCAGTTCTGAGGACCCTCCTGACGTACTCGGTCCCTCCCTTGCTGAGCAAGCTTTAAGGCTAAAAGCTGTTAAACTGGAAAAAGAAGTCCAGGATTTAACAGTGAGTAATAGATTTTATATTACTTATTTGCTGTCTCTTTTCTGATTTAAATGTTCAAGCAAAATTTTTTTTAAATGTTTTTTGTTTTTTTAAATGAATTTTCCTTTAAAATGGTTTTTTACCCCTCTTCCATTACTCTCTTGCTGGGCCTATTTTAAAAAAAAAAGTCTGGTTTTTAAAAGCTACTTGCTAAGGGTGGTGCCTTGTTTTGTTTCCCTCTTGTTTCCCAGCCCTTAGATAACTGATGGTTTGGCAGTTAAAGGTGGTGTGGTGCCTGTCAGGTGATAGAGAATAAATATTTGCTGGGTGTGTGAGGTCTTTGTACTCTGGTAAGCAGAGAACATCTGACCTACTAAACATAGTTGTGATTGAGCACTGTGAGAAGAAATAGCTAACGCAGAATAATTACAAGGCGGAGTAAAGTCCCTCAGGACTGCAGGGTGCTGGGAAGCAGTCTTATGAGAGCAATTAAAGAACCCAGGAACTAAAGAGAAAAGAGGAACAAACAGGATGAGTTAACTGCCTTGAAATAGGTGATAGGTGTTGGTTATTGGTTTTTTTTTTTTTTTTTTTTTTTTGGTTTGGTTGGTTGGTTTTGTTTTGTTTTTAAGATTTATGTTATGTATATGTTATGTTCTGTCTGCCTGTTTGCATACACACCAGAAGGCATCAGATCTCACATTACATATGGTTGTGAGCCACCATGTGGTTGCTGGGATTTAAACTCAGAACCTCTAGAAGAGCAGTCAATGCTCTTACATCTGAGTCATCTTTCCAGTTGCAGTGATAAGTTTTTAAAACTTATTCTTTGTCATGTGAGAGTTCAGGTCCGTGAAAGAAAGGTTGGCAGTGTTGCCTAAATGTGAAATTGTTCGCTCTGGATAATGAAACTGAAAAGTGATGTGTTCAAGCTAGTTGTAATTACTTACAAGCTACTGAAGAGTAAATAGATGACTGCTTTGGAAATTTGAAGAGCAGCCGGTCTCAGACTGGTTTGTTTTTAAACAGCGACTACTGAAGACTAAACCCAGGGCCTTGTGCATGCTGAGAATGTACTCTATCACTGAGCTGTGTCCCTGCCTCTATTACAAGGGCAAGATTTATAAAGTAAAAGCATTATTTACCACTGACTTCTCACCTTTGATTTTGCTTTTGTTATTTAGCTGAGATACCAGAGAGCTGTCGCTGATTGTGAAAACATAAGGAGACGAACCCAGAGATGTGTAGAAGACGCCAAGATATTTGGTGAGAGATGATTCATAGTATAGTAAATTTATTTGAAGGGCTTGTACCTTTGTAAACACTTTTGTAAACTAATTGTAGTAGAAATGCATCTGAGACCCCTAACTAATACATCCCGTACCTCCCACTTTCCCCACAGGCTTTCTCTGCTGTACATGGAAATGGTATCATGTTAACCATTGTATAATAATGCTGGCCTTTATCTTTCTAAGGATGTACAGTTGCTACAGTTCCAACATTCTAGTGTATATACAAATAATATTTTTTAGTCATTGATGAAACAGTGAATTATTGCGACATTCAAGAGGAAAATCCAAAGAGCAGTGCATAACCAGGAATGCTAAAGTTTGCGTGATGTAAGCAGCATTGGTCTGTATGCACAGGGAAAGTCTATACTACTGTGGACAAGAATCCTTTATTGCTGTCAGTGCTTTGCAAGTCGGTTCTTTATAGAATAGCCTGAAAGAAGGTAAAACTTGAAAGTGTGTGTGTGTGTATTCGAGCACTTGTGCACATGTGTGCATGTGTATCCAAGTCTATAACAAAGCTCCACAGATCATAGCCAGCTGCCAGTTAGTAGTTTTGACTTTCATGTTTTTTTTTAAAGTTCATATGAACTTACTTTCTCTTTACTTAATTTTTGACTTTTGCCTCTTGTCCCACAAACCTTAAAATGTTTGCTGTGTGGCCTTTTACAGAAGAAAGTTGTTGGCTGCTGCGCTGTGGGAATGTCTTGTTCCAAGTAGAACAGTTTTAGCAATGGGAGAACTTCTGGTGTTCGACCTGCTTGATGAGTAAAGGTGGATGGACACTGAAGTCAAGCATTGAGTTATCACTAGTTAGACATCTAGGAATGAATTCATGTTAACTAACGGCCAGTTTATTGACTTAAAACAATGGATCTAACCAAGGACACTACAGAAGTCGTTTGCCTATGGAGTTTCCTCCTGGCCACCAGAGATACTTAGGAAACTGAAGGGGTTGAGATGAGCATGGAGGGAGAAAGAAAGTATAATTTGGTTTTGATTTTGGTTTATGTTTTTTGAGTCAAGGTTTCTCTATGTAGCCCTCGCTAACCTGGAACTCTGTATAGATCAGGCTGGCCTCTAACTCACAGAAATTCCTGCCTCTGCCTCCCAAGTGCTAGAATTAAAGGGATGAGCTACCACACCTGGTGGAAAGTATGTTTTTAAACTGCATGTCATAACAACTATCTGACCTCCTTGCAAGCATAGTTTTAACTCAGTAGTTAAATTGGGACTTGGGAGATGTTTCAGTAGATAAAGTAATTATTTTGCAATCATGAAGTTCTGAGTTGGGATACCCAAAATTCATGTGGAAAAAAGGTCAGGTGTGTGACTAATTTCAGTGCTGGGGTGGGAAGGAGACAGGCAACTCACTGGACTCTCCTCAGGTTGGCTGAAATGTCTAGTTCTGTGTCCAATAAGAGTCTTCATCTAAAAAAAAACTAGAGCAAAATATCCATCGTTGACCTATGACCTGGGTGCACGTAGAGGCAAACGGGCATACATCACACACAAAATAATCATAATACAATAATGATAATGGGCTTCTGTTTAGCCAAATCCCCACTACTTCACTCATTTAGAAGCAAAGTTTCCCCCTGGCAGTATGCAGATCAGCACAGAAGCTTGCTGCTTTAAAACTTCTACTGGATGGCTGAGAATGTAGCTCAGTGGCAGAACCATGGGCTTGGGCTTAATCCCCAACACAAAAACCCAGCATCTGCTCTCAGTCAGGGCTTATTTCCTTGCTTGACACTGGCACTTTTTTCTTTTCCTTGTGAGCCCATCTGCATGCCCGTAAGTCAGTGGGCATGTTGCTAGTATACTGCTGTTGGGCTGATGTGCCACTGTTGTCCTCAAGAAACTACTAGTAGAGTCTGGGAAGTTAAAAGTAGAATTCCTTCCTCTCCTTTGGTCTGCCACATCTGGTCAGTTTTCTCAGGTCTACCTTTCGGTGCTTTTATTGCTTACCTGTGACTAGTCTAGGTGGCTGCCCACCTTGGCGTAGCTATAAACATGTCAATAGATAAGTCTACTCTTTACCAGCCCCTGCCGGGCATTATGCCATGGATGTCCAGCGGTGACCATTCCTTATCCCGATCAGAGTGGGAACACTAGCTTTACTTTCAGCTTGGAATAGTTTATTTGCTCTAAAAGGTTTCTGTGGACCTTTCCCAGGTCTCCCTAACAGGCCTTAGAAAGGACACTCACCTCATCTGTAAGTGTGCCTTACCTTTCTATCTAGGCAGCCATGAACAAGTGGCTCTCGCCATCCTTAGCATAGTGTTGGCTTTTCTTATTTTGTGTTCTCCACCCCCACCCTCCCAATGAAATATTCCTAGCTTATCTCTTGAGAGTGGCCTTTGCACAACTAAGATAAGCCTGTTTTTAGTCTATTTTATATAGGTGTATTTAGCCCAAATTGTATCTTTTCCTGGTTTCCCAGTAGACACAGACAGACATAGTTTGCAAAAACTGACTTTGACTTGTCAGTTGAGGTTGAATGGTTGAGCTGATCCCCAAGTCCTGCATAGCAACCTTCCCACTCAGAAGTACTAAGTATAAAGTGAGCTACCTCTTTGCCTACTCCAGGTTCTACCCCTAAGGACAGCGTTGTTCTCAGACTTGGTTCTGTTTTCTGCAGGAATCCAGAGCTTCTGTAAGGACTTGGTGGAGGTGGCAGACATTTTGGAGAAGACTGCCGAGTGCTTTTCAGAAGAAACCAAACCTGAGGACCACAAGCTTACTCTGGAAAAAGTCTTTCAAGGACTGTCCCTTTTAGAAGCAAAGCTGAAGAGCGTGTTTGCCAAGCATGGCCTAGAGAAAATGACACCGATTGGTGACAAATATGACCCTCATGAGCATGAACTCATCTGTCACATGCCAGCAGCTGTAGGGGTACAGCCTGGCACTGTGACATTAGTACGGAAAGATGGCTACAAGCTTCATGGCCGCACCATTAGACTTGCCCAAGTAGAAGTGGCAGTGGAGTCTCAGAGAAGGCTGTGAACAAGCCACCAGGAACTAAAACTCTCGCAGGTTCTGGCACCTGTGTCTCCTTTATTTATTAAGCTGGTTTGTATTATACATGAGGTCCTTCGTGTGCTCCACTTTGGATTTAGTCATATTGGCTTTACCTCTGCAGTATCTTATTGGTTTATGTGGCCTGTTTGGTCTCATCAAAAGTCCTGCCACTGGGCATTTGAACAATGTGACGAGTGTCCTATGGCCTTTTTCAAAATGTTTACAAAAATCATTTAAGTTGGTACTCTGATGACTGAATCCAAAATCCCTTAATTGTGTTTTCAACTAATTTCTGGAATTAGTGCAGCATAGTGTGTCTTATATTTTATGGGAAAGGGAGATGGTAGGGATTGGTGTGACATTTAGGTACTTAGATTGACAAAGCTTTACCCTTGTATAAATTTAGATCATTTGGGTTGACATATAGAGAGATTTTTAAAAGAATTTTTATTTCATTTTTTATTTAGTCATCTTTTTTACTTGTAATCCCTGCTAGGGGTCACACATTATTCCGTAGCCGCCCCTTTCTTGTTCCTTTTGGAAGGGCTAAAGGGTCTGTCGGGCCAGTCTTCCTTTTTTTTGTTTATGAGGTGTGCTCTTTTACTAAACTGATCTCAAGTCCATGAACAGGTAAGCTCTTGACAAACAACCCACTCCCAGGAAGACCAAAAGCCTCCATAAATCTCAAGTTGGAGAGTCCAGCATGGGGGACCAAGCATAGTAGCTGACTGTTCAAAATTAAAAACAAAGTATTAGGGTGGATAATTTTTTGAAATACACAAAAGTAATGCTGCTGTCTCATCTCACTTGCATGCACTCGGATGACCTGGGCATCCTCCTTTCTAAATTAGGGTGGGGTGCTTCTTTGGGGAGGACAAGGGACTTCCTGTAGCAACAACAAAATGCAAAATCTTCAACCACATTGCAAAACTTTGGGGATGCGTATCCCAAATCAGCTGCTGTCACCTTCACCATTCCAGTTTTTAAATCCTGAATCAAAAGCACCAATATATATATTTATAATTGAGAAAAAGAACAAAGTTGTCTCAGGGTTTTTTTTTTCCATGCACATTTTGTCAAGAAAAGATGTGAACACAACTCCGTCATTGTCCACCTAGAATCATTTGCAGTGCATGAAGGAAGGACCGTTGTATTCCTCCTTGCTGAACCAGGAGGCCATAGTGGAACTGCCTATCCACATGGAGTACTTGCATTTGGGGAGAATGGTGTTGATCTTCACTGTACTAGGAGCCAGATCAGTGATCTGTATGCTGGTGTAATTGGTGCCTGGGTACATGGTGGTACCTACAGACAGCACTGCGTTAGCATAGACGTCTTTGCTGATATTGACACCACACTTGATGACAGAATTGAAGATAAGTTCATGGGCACCATAATAGTCCACACCCAGAAAGGAAGGCTAGAAGAGCGCCTGGGGGCAGCAGAATTGGTCCTTGCTCATAGTGATGACCTGGCTGTCGGACATAACTCTTCTCCAGGATAAAGGATGCAGCAGCAGGCATGCCTTACTGGAAGTCCAGGGGGAAATGGCACAATTTCTTGATATTAGATCCATTTCCTGCTTCGCTATGACGAAGTTGTAGCCATGTTTATTCTGGAACTTCATGGGTAGGTCCTGTAGATGGGCACTGATAGGGGTGTGGGGGTGCGTTTGTGTGGAGTCCATCATGAAGAGTAGTTCCTGTAGATGAGCACTGTGTGTGCGCGCGCGCGCACGCGTGTCTGTCTCTGGAGTTCATCATGAGGCAGGTGATGCCAACAGAGTTGTACAGACAGCACAGCCTTGGTGGCTGTGTGGATGAGTAGAGTGTTGATGATCTTGAGCATGATCTGGGTCTTTTCATAACTGGTGTGGCGTTAAGGGAACCTTGGTAAGCAGCTAGTGCTCTTTCAGGGCCACACGTGTTCATTGTAAAAGGTGTAGTATCTCTGTTATCCAAGTTGGTGACAGTACCACTCTCCATGAATACCTCAGCATCAGGATGCTTTTGGTCTGGGCCTAATTGCCCATATAGGAGTCCTACTGGCCCATGTCCACCATCACATCCCCAGTTTGGTGGATAAAACACCATAGAAGCAAGAGAGACTTGGACACATCCCCGCCTATGCAGCCAGCTTTGTACATGCTGGGACCGGTGTAGCAGTATCTGCTTCCATGGCAGATGGTAGCAGGTCGAGACTCAGCAGCAGAGAGACTTGTGTGTGTGTCAGGTGAGTATGGGTTCTGCAGATCCTCTTCCCTCATAAGCAGTTATTTTCAGACCCTTGGGTGTGAAATACCCGTGACAATACCAGCGGCAAAAGACCCAAACACAATTGTATGAGTAATTACCTACAAATGGCTGCTTCCACCAACCCTTACTCCTGCCCTTTGTCAGATTTGCCCTGGGATCTTATATTAGATTGTATGGGGAGGTAATGGACAAAATGCTTTACTCCCATGAATTTCTCATCTAATAATGCTGAGGTATGCCTTTTTTCCTTTGTGGTTGAAACTGACAAATTACTACTTCTCACATCAACAAACTTTAATTTGTGTTTTTAGCACTGGGGATTGAAGGCAAGGTCTCCAGAATGCTAGGTAAGCACTCTGCGACTGAGCTCTGCTCCTAGCCCTGACAAGCTTTGTTTCCTGTTATTAAATCCATCTTAAGCCATATTTGTTTGAACGTCTGTCTCCTCATTTATATATTAACCTTGTAAATTTGTGAACCTGTATATTTTTTACATCTTAACTGATGCTGTATAAAAGATTTTACTTTTACTAAGTTAGCCAAAGGAGCACTAAGGTTCTCTTAACATAACCCTGCCAGGCAGGCGGGGACAGCCTTGGTTAACAACTGCCTGGGAAAAGCAGTGCTGGCCTGTCTTGGGATAGCCTTGACAATATTTTACATTGTAAATTTCCCCATTTGTCCAAACAGTCAAACCTTGTCATTCCTGGCTCTGTGAAATGTGGTTAATGACTCGAAGTATACCTCTGGAGCCAGGAAACTATAGGCTCCAGGGATTTCTGTTCAGGGCTGGCTCCCTTTGGTGCATTAGCCAGGGGCAGTCGCCTACTGGCTTGCAAGTTTCTCTTTTACTCATCTAGTGAAAGGCCTTTCAATTCTGTAACATAGCGTTACCCTTCCTGCTGCTTCCGAAGCTCAAAAATCCAGTCGGTTTTAGGACAGACTTGAGACAGCCCTCCTAGATTCTTTGGACTGCCAATTAAACTGGCACAAACTGGGTGAATGAGAGGAAAGCAAACTCCATTGTCTACGTGAACACAAGAGTCGTGCAAAATCTGAGAGTCGGCCTCAGAAAACTGGTGCTTTGATCACATACTGACCTACAGAAGAGGCCTGGAAGACAAAATTATGATGAGAATGGGTGGTCTCAGACGTCTGGAGAAGCCCTTTGATACATAAAACTGCCAATGTGCATTTTCTTTCAACTACTGCATTAAAAAAGGAAAGTCAGTCTCAGCTACTCCTGTGACTGCAGTTTCCCAAAATAACAACCAGCACAATATATAGCAAAGACTATTTTGGAGCGGCATATTCTAATCTCGGACTTCCAGTCATATTTTCAGGTGGTAAGTTAGCTCTCAAGTATGAAGTCATCCTCCATTGACCTCCGTCACATCTTAACACCTGGACAAAGATAAGACTTGGAGATGGTGTAAAGTGTACTGGGAGCAGTAAATAGTACTTTTTAAAATTGTTTCTTTTTTATCTTTTACACAGTAGTATTTTGCCTGCACATGTATCTGTGTGAAGGTGTTGGAACTCTTGGAGCTCAAGTTTAAGACAGTTGTGAGCTGCCATGTGGGTGCTAAGAATTGAATCCAGGTCCTCTGGAAGAGCAGCCAGTGCTCTTCACCGCTGAGCCATCTCTCCAGCCCCCAAATTAAAAAAAAAAAAAAAATATGACCATATTTTATGTGTATGTTTTGTCTCCATGTATCTCTGCGCCATGTGCTTGTGGAGGCCAGAAGAGTGTGTGAGATCCCCTGGAACTGGAGTTAGAAATGGTTTGTACACCATGTGTAGGTATACTTAAAAAGTATTATTTATTGTAGACTGAGACATGACTCAGTGATTAAGGGCATTCCGACTGCTCTTCCAGAGAACCCAGGTTCTATTTCCAGGACTCTGCAGTCAAAAGATTATCTTGGCAAGGCATTTTACCATTTTACTAATTGCCTGTTTAAGGAACAGTGAAATTCTACAATATGAATTTGCCTTCATTCCTACAAGATTGACAAATGGAAACAGTGAGAAAATGGGCCGTGTATATTTTACAGTTACTTGTCCTTGCAAGTGAACTAGAGCAGACTTGTTTTAGGAGTTCTGTTATTTAGAGTGTTCTGATCTCTCCACACATTTTTGCAAGTAGATCAACGTTAGATTCTTTATTCTGTTTTGCAGACTTAAATCATGAATTCACAGTGAGAGGAAGCTATAATAAAAGAAGCTCAAAGAAGGAACATGGAAGCCACAACAGTGTAGTAGAACTCAGACTTGGTAGCATAGACTTTGAGGACAGTTCTGGTACCAGTCATTCCATGTTTACAAAATGGTTATAATTCATGACACTGAGGGGGCTGGAGAGATGGCTCAGTGGTTAAGAGCATTGCCTGCTCTTCTAAAGGTCCTGAGTTCAATTCCCAGCAACCACATGGTGGCTCACAACCATCTGTAATGAGGTCTGGTGCCCTCTTCTGGCCTGCAGACATACACACAGACAGAATATTGTATACATAACAAATATTTTTAAAAAATTCATGGCACTGAGGATTACATGAAACTCCAGTAAATTCTCCTGTTTTGTTACTTAAATTATCACGGTTTTCTTGCATTTTTATGATTACCTAAAGTCTAGGGGAAAGGGAAGACTGGCTAAATGATGGTATTAAAAATAAATTGTAAGCTAACCTGCTGTGACCTATGTGGCTTGTGGGTCCTGGAACCCTGGCTAGAGTTGGTGAGTGAATAAAGAGCAGACAGATATACAGTCACACACATAGTGAAGCCAGGATCAGGTGGGGTTTCTAATGCCTCTATTACTGGGTGTTCATTAGGTACAACACAGGGGAAGACATTAGCTAGTCTCGAAGGAAGCCTCTGGAGACCAACAATCCCAGCTGTAAACATCCAGGAGGAGGAGGAAGCCTCAGTTGCTAGTCTTTGCACACACTGATTAGTCTTCCATAGACACTCAGACTCCAGAGAAAAGCTTTGCCAATTTTCCATGGGCCAATTAAGACCTTGTAGTCCTCAGCAGGCCGTACCCATATCAAAATACATACTTCGCTCCCTCAGGCTTCCCCACCATTACGCAGTCTTAGGGTTCCTGTTAGTATGATGAAATACCACAACCAAAAGTAAAACGAAGAGGAAATGGCTTGTTTTGCTTACACTTGTATATCACCATTCATCATCAAAGGAAGTCAGGGCAGGAACCTGGGGGCAGGAACTGTTGCTGAAGCCATGGAGTTATTTACTGGCTTAGTCTGCTTTCTTGTAGAACCCAGGGTGACCACCCAGAATTGACTGAGCCCTTTCCCATCAGCCACTAATTTAAAAAAAAAAAAAAAATGCCCTCCAGGCCTGCCTAAGGCTGAATTTTATGGAGGCTTCAAGGTCCCCTCCCCTCAGAAGACACTAGCTCTTGGTCAAGTTGACATGTCTAGCCAGAACACTAACCATAATACAGCTTTCCCTTCCCGTTCTGTTGTTTGGTTGACCTTGTTACAGAAATATGCACTTTTAGACTGAAAGAACAATGAAATTGAGTCCAGACCTTTCATTGTTTTCATCTTGATGGCTTTACCATAAAAGACCTCGGTGTGCTGGGATGGTGACCCATGTCCTTGATCATAACACTTGAGAAGCACAGACAAGAGGATCTCTGTCAATCTGAGGTCAGCCCAGTATACATAATGACACTATCTTAAAACAATGGGGGTTGGAGACATGGCTCAGTGGTTAAGATACTGACTGCTCTTGCAGAGGATTCAGTTTCAATTCTCAGTACACACAAAGTGTCTCATAACCAGCTGTCAGTCCTAAGGGATCTGATGCCCTCTTCTGCCCTCTGAGGATACCAGGCACACAGACATAGATGGATGCAAATAGCCCATACATCAGAGATAAGTGAGTGAAATTTTAAAATTTAATTTTAAAGCACCTTGGCTTGCAGTGGACATGTAAGGAAATAGATCAACTTGTGAAAGACTTGATGTTCTGGTGCTTGGGCTAACAAATCTTTGCCTTTCCTTTGGTAAATTGTTGATTGCTCACACCCATGACAACAGGCTTGATAAATGAGAAAATGCTAAAGGAAAATCAAATAGGGAAAGATAGGATGAAGTATACTTTTAACACAAGAAATGCCTTTACAGCAGCTGAATTAAAATAACTGCAGTTCAGGTGTGGACGGTTTGGTTTGGTTTTTATAGGGCTAGGGACAGCATATAGGGCTTCCCACCCACCTTCCTGTGCTCGGCCATGGAGTGCTCTACCATCAAGTCATAAGCTCGGCCCTAGTCCTGGTGTGCATACGGGCTTTCCACACCCTGCCTTGAGTTAATCTTGTATGTTTCTTCCTGTTTGGTTGGCTTTTCTTCTGTTTGCTTCTATGCCTGCATTGACTACTGAGATTCTGCTTTGCCCTTTGTTGTGTAACAGTTTCCTCAAAGAACTGAAATATTCTGTGGTGGTTTGAATGAAAACGGGCCCCATAGACTCATAGAGAGTGATGCTACTTGAAACGATTTAGGACGGGTGGCCTTGGTGGAGTAGGTATCACCTCGCTGGAGAAAGTGTGTCACTGGGGGTGCACTTTGGGGTTTCAGAAGCCCAAGCCAGTGTCTTTCTTCCTGCTGTCTGTCAATCCAGACGTGGAACTCTCAGCTAACTCTCCAGTGCCCTGTCTACCTATGAGCCACCATGCTTCCTGCCCTGACAATAATGTATAAACCTCTGAAACTATAAGCAGGTCCCCAATTAAATGTTTTCCATTCTAAGTCTCGCTGTGGCTGTGGTGTCTCTCCATAGCAATAAAACATTGGTTTAAGACACATTTTATCCTGATTATTAAGAGAGAAAGTAGATAACTCAAGATAGCTACAGGAAGTCCCTGAAACTACCAGATTCACTAGGTCTCTCCCTCTCCAAGAGTATGTGAACAGTAAAGACTTTTGAGAGTTACTCTCAGACAAGCCATTACAAAGAGGATTCTCAGATAAGCCTCACCTCCTGGAAGAAACAGAGACCAGGAGAACTTCCTTGGACAAAGACCAGGTAAGCCACCAGGAAAGGACAACCTCCAACTTGAGCTGCCTGCAGGCTCTGTGGTGTTCCAGGTTCCAGGCTTTGATGAACTATCTATCATCCGTACTATGGTGGACTTTGGTGATGGAGCTCTCTTTGAATCACTTCTGCTCCTACAAGTAACCCCTCATATTTCTGTAGGTAACCCCAATAAAACTTCTGGTTCACCAAGTCATATTTTGATGATACTCATATTTTGATCCATTGTCTGGGGTAATAGGTTGTGTGTGGTGTGTGTGTTGCACCTCCCCTGGAAAGTTTGTCCCACTTTCACTCCTGGCAGTCTTTGTGATGGGGGAAGGGGCTCAGATGGCAGGAGTGCTTTCTCTGCAAGCATGAGGACCTGAGTTCAAGTCCCCAGCACCCATGTAAAAAGCCAGGCAAAAATGTATGTACCTAGAACCCCAGCCCAGGATGGTAGAGACAGGCATGTCCCAGGTTGATGGTTGGTTGCCTGACCCAAATGAGCTTTGGGCTCAGTGAAAGACCCTACATAGAGGAAGACACCTATTATTCTCTGGTTTCCACATACACGCATGTGTTACACATACCTACACACACCGTGTACCATACACAATTCACAAAACTACTGCATTTGTCCTTGATCCAACCTTCATCTTCTGGATGTTCTATCAACTTCTAACTAACTACCTGCCTCAGCCTCTCAGTTGACTTTCATGAACCAGCTTCCTCGCCAAATGGCCATCTTTAAAGTTAAGCTTTCCTGGGATTTAGCCTTGCATCTTCATCCTTCCAGGTCTATCTGCATACTGTAGTTTTATTTTTGATTCCATATGCCATCGTTTCCTGTATTCCCAGAGTGTCAATAAGTATATTCTTATTCCCATCCTACCTAGCCTTGGCCCATGTTCTCAAGTTCATTGCCATGGTTTTTAAATGATCCCGGTGGGGCTGGAGATTGTTCCGAGGTTAAGAGCACTTGCAGCCTTTCCAGAGGACCAAGGTTCTGTTGCCATCACCCATACCAGGTAGTTTGAGACTGCCTGTAACTCCAATTTAGGAAATCCAATGCCTTCCCCTGACTTCCAAGGGCAGTGCACACACATGATGCACATATACTCAGGCACACACATACACGTTAACAAATCTTTAAAGTGACCCCAGTGGGTTTTTTTTAGATACATGGAGAGTTCCTGAATTAATTTTTTAGTCTCATTGCTCTGCCTGCAATTGTTTGATCCGTATGATATGGTGACGTCACACTTTGGGTTTCTGGACTAACCCTTAAAAATAACTGGGTCAGTACCATCTTGTCCTCCAGTGGGCCATCATGCAAATGGGACTACCCTGTGCATTTGTGGACAAATCAAAAGAGTATGACTTTGGTTTTGGAGTGGTTCATTAGATAGCAGCGGATAAATGATATGGTTACCTCACCTCAGTCCCGGGCTCAGCTAATTATTTTGCACCTCTGTACCCCTAATTGTAATGGTTTTGTTTGTGTGCTTGCTTGCTTTTCCTCTTACCAGCAATTCTGAACCTGACGATCTCATGCATGATCAATAGGCTGGCAGAGTTATAAGAACTAGTGGGGAGGCCGGGCAGTGGTGGCGCACACTAATCCCAGCACACGGGAGGCAGAGGAGGCAGATCTCAGTGAGTCTGAGGCTAGCCTGGTCTACAAAGTTGAGTTCCAGGACACCCAGGACTGTTACACCAAGAAACTCTGTCTCAAAAAAACATTATAATAATAATTAATTAATAATAAAATTAGTGGAAAAAGCACAGTTCTAGATTCAACAATCACAAAAAATTCCAGGGTTACAAAGTTGGAGAGCCAAGATGAATTTTAAAGTAAATATGATTTAAAACAACAACACTGTAAGTGGTCAGCCCATAAGAATACCTGACACAAAATGATGATAAGTAAATGCCTATTTAAAATAAGGAAGAGAAGTTGAAGATATGGTCCAGTAGTTAAGAACAATTGTTGCTCTTGCACATCAGGGACCCTGGTTCAGTTCCCGGTGTCCACACATGGGTGTGAACCAGGCTCCAGGGGATCCAATGCCCACTTCTGCCCTTGGAGGACAGCAGACTGCACACAGCGCATATACAGCCGTGCAGGCAAACTCATCCGTTTTTTGATAAGAAGCACGGTGCCTCAGACCTGTAATCCTAGCAACAGAGAGCCTGGTAACCAGCCTGGATTACCAAGAGAGACCCTGTCTCCAGAAATATGGGCAAGCCTATAATTCTAGCATTTGAGAGGTGGAGGCAGGAGATCAAGAATTCAAAATTGTCTTCCACTATCCTCCAAGCCAGCCAAAACTACATGAGACCTAGTATCTAAATAAGTAAACAAATGCCTAAATAAAAATAAAGGAAGAGAGAGACGGTAGAAGGCAGGGGGAAGATGTAGAAACTGGAAGCAAAAACGAAGGCTCCAACGCAGAAGTGCTTGTTTCTCGGCACTTGCACGAAGAAGCTCATCTAATCATGCAGGTCGCCAGCTTGGTCAGCAATTCACAGCTCTTGAGGGACTAACAAGCCCCTCAAAGGGATTTTCCCCTCCATTATCTCACGTGATCATCACAACCAAGAAAGGCAGAGCCTAGATTATTGTGCCCCCTGGAAACAGACAGCAAGAAGACATATCACGAAGCTAGTAAGCGTGATTCAACTCCCTTCTGTGCATCTCCCAGCAACTGGGCCCTGGTCCTGATGTTGTGCTCCAAAGACATGCACACCTGCGCCTGAGCAGAATGAGCCAGCCAATGAAGAACCCGCATCCAAGGAGGAGGGACGGGGCGCTGCCAATGACTGAGCTCTCCCTGAGACAGCTGTAGCTAATGGAGACCTAGTACTGCAGAGGGACGGTTGCTCGACCAATGAAAGGCTGGGACCAACCAGGCTGCAAGGCCAGCCGGCCAGTGGGGCGCCAGGGCGGGGCGCGCAGTCGAGCGCCAACCGCAAGCGGGGATCCGCAGCGTGCAGCCCGGTCACCACCCGCCATGGCCCGCTCTGTCCCGCTGCTCGCCATGCTGGCCACGCTTCTCACCACCGCTGCTGCAGGCGGAGACGCCCCGCCCGGAAAAATCGGTGCGGGAAGGATGTGGTGGAGTGCTCACTGAGGAGGACGGGCGGGAAGAGGGTTTGCAGCTGACCTGGGGCAGGGGAGGGCTGCTCCCAAGAGGAGCTGGGTGCAAGATTGGCTAGGGGCTGGTGGGCGCGGAAGAAGCGTGCACAGGGGAGGTGCTGATGGGGAGGGTGGTGTAGGCACGAGGAGGGGGCCGCCTGGGAAGGAAAAGGCCTGAGCAGGAATAGCCACTGACAGCTGTCCGCAAGGCGCACGGTCACGGAATATTTACTTCTTGAGAAGCTCTCGGGTGACAGGAGCTGGGCGGTGGCCTTTGCAGGGGTCGGCTGAGCGCGCTGTGTGTTACAGCACGCTATGGCTGTGGTTCCTTCAGGACGCCAGGCCCTTGCTGAGGATGAGAAAGTTCTGTGTCTGGAGGGCGTTTGGCAGGTTCTGCGGGCTCTAAGAAGGCTTCCTAGAAGTAACATCTAACGAGAACTTCCGGTCTATAGAAGGTAGTTCCTTCCACGGGATAGAACAATAAATAGATTGCTGGGGGTGGATTTGCTGAGTCGGATGAGTGTGGGACTTTTTCCCCCCTCAGACTTGCTTAGACAAGCAGTCTACTGCACAGCCCCACAGCCCAGTATGGAGAACTCAATGGCTGTCATTTTTTTTAATTAATTATTATTTGTGTGGTTTCCCCAACATTTTATTCCGAAGTTCTTCAGACATACAGCAAAGTTGAAAGAATTTACAATCTTATCCATGTGCCCACCACATTCTGCTCTTTGCACTGTTCATATTTTGTTGCATTTCCAAATAAATTGCAGGCACCGGGACGGGACACCTCACTTAATACACCATGTGTAGTCATTGTCACTGGTTTGTTTACAACTTTTTTTCCTGCCTTTTGTTTTAACCCTGCATGGCTCGAAGTTTCTCAAATCTCTTTGCACATGGATTCCCACAACCAGAAATGCTCAGTTCCTATTTGTGGGAGGACAGAATAATAATTCCACTAGGCAGCCCCTGTGAACCCCAATTGTCAGGAGTGCCTTGGGACAGCTGAGATTTGCCAGGGCCGGTACAGTGCTAAAACTTGACTGTGTGAGAAAGCTGCAACAGGCCACAGAGGGTTAAGGCTGGCCAGAGCACACTGGAAATATTGATTTGTGACTAAGAGTCTGCACAAGAGAGAATCTCGGGGGCTGCGGTATTAAGAGAAGGTCGAATGGAGGTTGACTTCGGAGCAAGCTTGGAAGGATAACGACTTAGGCAGGTTTAGGGACCAGGGATGTGCAGTAGTTTTTCCTGGGGATGGACAGCAAGGGCTCCCTGCAACAGAACCAAATGGTGGTTCCGTAGCTTGCAACCTGCCTCCTTCCAGCTTGTCCCTAGACAAACCTCACCATCTTCCCAATCGATGACAAGCTGCCCTTTAACTTCCTGAACACCTTCAACCCCCTTGGTGGTTTGGACTATACCTAGAGAGGAGGACAGGGTGCCTCCCATTAAAGGTCACAGTCCTTGAGCTCCAGTAGGATTCTGTCTCCATGCTCCTGAGTGGCCCTAGAACCCTTTAGAGTCCTCCTCGGTGCCCTTCTTTCTCCTCTTGCTGACATGCAGATTTTCTCTAGGGTCCTGCTCAGATGCTTTCTCTGTGCAAAGCCTGTATCTGTTGCTGCTCTCTCAGGATCCCTCAAAGCCCGTTGTCCTACTTGGTTATGGATCGTTTTAGCTGATTGTGCACGAGTCTCTGCCCATTGGCTGCTTAGGTTCCTGGAAACCCAAACCCCTCTTGGTTCATCTCTGAGCCTTGGCACATCTTATAGGACAAAGAACAGTGTCTGTTAGGTATGTTCCATAAACCTGCTCACAGTGATAGGACATCTTACTTATAACCGGTGGCACTTCCAGCTCTTGACATGTCTGTCTCTTTGGAGAAAATAAGTAATTTGGGAGTCTCTCCAGAGGAAGAGGAGGGAAAGAGAGCAGAGTGGTTAGGAAGAAAATGAGGGTATTCCTGGATGTGACTCTTAAGTACTGAGAAAAAGGAGTTGGTTAGTTCACCGTGCAATAGATGTTTCTGGACTTTGTTATCGGCCAGGGTCTGGGAACAGCATAATCCTGCTTCCTCTGTGTCCTCAAGTCATTTGAATGTGGTGTGGCAAAGGCAGGGGGAGCTGCTGGAACAGGCATGGGCGACACCGGCCTCTCCTTAGAAGGTGGCAAACTGGGCTAACCGTAGCTCCTAGGGACTGGGGAAGTCTTTATCTTCTCACCTGGCTGGAGGGGAATACCAAACTGTCAGTGGGAGGGAAGCCGTGTTTCAGATGTTGGGCAGATGGAACTGCAGGCAAGGCAGTAGCCCAGCCCAAGGGTTTCATAACTAGTTTATTCTCCCTCGGGGCTGTTTGTTGACCACTGTCTGTCTAGACAGTGGTTCCCAGCAGCATCAGGTGGTAGGTTGGACTTTGACCAAAAGAGCCAACAAGTAAATATTTTGGGTGTTCCAGGTCATTTCACAGTATTTTCCCACTGACCGTAAGTGAAAGAAAGGGTGTGGCTCTGTCGGCAGCTGTCATCAGCACCAGGTGGCTGAAAGGGAGAATCACCTGAGCCAGGAGTTCAAGGCTAGCCTAAGCAGCTGGGTGAGATACTATCTCAAAAGACAAAAGAAAGCCTGTTGGGCAAGGTGGTTCATTGTAGAGGTAGAGGCAGGCAGATCTCTGAGTTCAAGGCCAGCCTGGTCCACATAGGAAGGCCTTGGAGAGAAAGAAAGAAAGAAAGAAAGAAAGAAAGAAAGAAAGAAAGAAAGAAAGAAAGAAAGACTAATCCCAGCACTTGGGAGGCAGAGGCAGGCGGATCTCTGTGAGTTCGAGACCAGCCTGGTCTAACAGAGCTAGTTCCAGGACAGGCTCCAAAGCCACAGAAAAACCCTGTCTCAAAAAAACAAAAAACAAAAAAAAAAGAAAGAAAAAAAAAAGAGAAAGAAGGACTTGTGCCTATAACATTTCTTTTTTTGTTGTTGTTTTTGGGGAGGTTCTTTGTTTGTTTTGTTTGTTTGTTTTTCGAGACAGGGTTTCTTTGTAGCTTTGGAGCCTGTCCTGGAACTAGCTCTTACAGACCATGCTGGCCTCAAACACACAGAGAGATCTGCCTGCCTCTTCCTCCCGAGTGTTGGGTTTAAAGGTGTGCGATTTTGGCCTGTGGGCTGTAGTTTGTTGATCCTGACTTAAGGAATGTTTTTCAGCCCACTAACAGAAGTGCTTGGTCAGTAACTGTTTTCACCAGTTCATCCTGAAATAAGAAAAGTGGAGGGCATGGGGGAATTTTATAAGAATCTAAATTTATTCTCTATTTTCTTTAACATTCATTGATGTATAGAGAGGGGCAGCGTGCATGCCATGACTCGTGGAGATGTGGGGACAACGTCCAGGAATCAGTTCTTTCGTGTTCCAGGGATCAAATTCGGGTCAACAGGCTGGCAGCAAACCTTTACATGGAGCCATCTGATTGGCCCAATTTATATTCCTTTCTATTCCCCCACCCCTTCTCTCTCTTTAGTTTGGTTTTTTTTTTTTTTTTTTTTTTTTTTTTTTTTTTTTTTTTTTTTTTTTTTTTTTTTTTTTTTTGAGACAGGGTCTCTTTGTATCCCTGACTGTCCCGGAACTCTCTCTGTAGACCAAACTGGCCTAGAACTCAGAGATCTGCTCGACTCTGCCTCCTGAGAGCTGGGATTAAAGGTGTGCACCACCACTGCCCTGCTCAATTTATTCTAAGAGCATTCTCTAAATTTTGAGATTCCTTCCTTCTCTCTTGCCGATAGGGTCTTCCTCCCGAGGAAGGCAGTAGGTGCGGTCGGAGGGGCCAGCCTTTGATTGTTAGGTTTAGAGCGTCTGAAAGCTCGGGCTGTGGATTCCCCTTTTGACATTCCATAAGCCTGCTGCATGCATGTGCCAGGAGCCTCCGCTGTGTACAGGGTAGTGCCTTACTAACCAGCCTCTCTCCCGTTGTGCCGTCTCTCCCTCCCTGCCTTGTTCGGGCTTGCCGACACAGCTGTTATTGGAGCTGGGATTGGGGGCTCTGCCGTGGCCCATTTCCTTCAGCAACACTTTGGACCCCGAGTACAAATTGTCGTCTATGAGAAAGGGGCTGTGGGTGGCCGCCTGGCCACCATCTCCGTCAACAAGCAGAACTACGAGAGCGGAGCAGCCTCCTTCCACTCGCTGAGCCTCCACATGCAGGATTTCATCAAGCTGTTGGGTGAGTGTCTAGCATTGGGGTCTAGTGCCCACTGCCCCAGGCCCTTCCCATGGGTGAGTGTCCAGCATTGGGTCTAGTGCCCGCTGCCCCAGGCCCTTCCCATGGGTGAGTGTCCAGCATTGGGTCTAGTGCCCGCTGCCCCAGGCCCTTCCCATGGGTGAGTGTCCAGCATTGGGTCTAGTGCCCACTGCCCCAGGCCCTTCCCATGGGTGAGTGTCCAGCATTGGGTCTAGTGCCCGCTGCCCCAGGCCCTTGCGGTCAGATCGTCCTTTAGCTCCATCTCCTCATTTTACAGATGGAGCAGCTGAGACCAGAGAGGGGAAAGAGCTTGCCTGAGGTACACAGTGAGTTAGTTGCAGAGCCGGGATTAGAACTCAGGTTTGACTCCCAGGCCAGTCTCTTCCTTTCAGTGTACTGCCTCTTATGCAGTCATATCAGCATCTATATCCTACATCCTTTATCTACATTGCCCACCAGACACTTGGTACTCTAGCAGGTGATATGTGGACATGACCTCACACCCAGCCAGCCTTTAGGATGAGTGACAGATCTCCCTCTAGAGACTGGAACTCAAATCCTTAATACCCTTCAGCTGAGATGCTGAAGTGATCAAGTTGGGGTTCAAAGTCAGCATCCTCTAAACTCCGAGTACGTATGCTGTCTGCTGAAGAAGTTCCACTTCTCGGAATTGGTCCTGCAGGATCACGTCTTGTAGTTAGGCAAAGTGTGCACGTGCGGGCTCATTTGCTACAGCAGGGTTTGCCAGAGCGGGATCTTGAGATGCCCTCCCCGCCCACCCTCTCTGTGCTTGGGGTGAAACGCAAAGGCATGTAAGTATACAGGAGACTGTTAGGGATGCAGGATGTTGTATGTGTTATGTCGGGGTGGAAGAGACCAAATCATGGCCACATACATGTTCATGAGTGGAGTGTTCTTTGAATTGTAGAATGCTGAGAAGCCAGAAGGAGCTAGTGTGAGTTCAGGGATCCATAACAAAGCCAGCCCTGCCCTGTGAGCCTTTAGACATTCTAGCATGGTAGCATTTCCCTCACTCTTGGCTGAGCGGGTCCCTGCTGAAGAAAGTACAAAATGGGACATAGTTCTCACTTCCTTACTCACTAGGAAGAGCAAATGGTTTTCTCGATGTATTCATTAGCATGCTACCTATAGACAGGAAGCACAAAGGAACAAAAGGTCCAGCCCTTTGCATCAGGAAGGGCCCAATGCAAAAGAGCTCAAGGCACTGTTGGGCCTCCTGAGGGCCATGAAAGGGAGCTGAGGGGCTGCTGGTCTCCGCAGGGCTGAGACAGCGGCGAGAGGTGGTGGGCAGGAGCGCCATCTTCGGCGGGGAGCATTTCGTGCTGGAGGAAACCGACTGGTACCTGCTGAACCTCTTCCGCCTCTGGTGGCACTACGGCATCAGCTTCCTGAGGCTGCAGATGTGGGTGGAGGAAGTCATGGAGAAGTTCATGAGGTAGGGCTGGGCGGAGCTGCAGAGCGATGCCAAGGAGGCCAGGGAAGATCTCAGGAGGGAACTGACGGTTTGGAAATTGTGAGAGAGTGGTAAAGGCCGACGCAAGGACCCTACCCAGCGCAGTGCAGGCTCAGGGCGAGCCCCAGCCTGAGGAGTGTGTGAGACAGGGCCCCCCTGGCTTTGCGACACTAGTCTTCATTCCTTCCTCCCACTAAATTACCGAAGCATGAGTTGCAAACTCAGTCTCTTACAAAGGCTAAAGTCGGGGTGAGCAAGGCCCCTGGGTGGAAGAGAACAGCGGGGTGGGGTAGCCCGAAGAGTAAGACCCTCTGAGGGAGGCAGCCAGCTGCAGCACAGTGACTAGCCACAAGGAAACGTCATGGAATTTTCCAGCTTTTCAGTGTTTATCACCAATTGACTTTGTGAACCCAATGAAACATTGATGCAGGCCAGACGCAGCCTGGGGTCACCTGTGTGCGAGATTTCTACCCCTACTTTGTCCCTCTAGAACGGTAATTCTCAAGCCAGGCGGTCGTGCTGCGCGCCTTTAACCCCAGCACTTGGGAGGCAGAGGCAGGTGAATTTCTGTGAGTTCCAGGCCACCCTGTCTTCCAGCCCCACATCCCTGTCCACCCCCTGGACACTGCTGTCTAGTAGCACAGTTGAAAGTCAAGCCCAGAGAAGGCAGCAGTTCACAGACAAGCTAATCCAGACTATATCAGCAGATAGCGCCCTTCTGTGCTAGCTCTGGGGCTGGAAGGAGTAGTAGAGACTCCATTCAGGGCAAGTGAGAATGCTGCCGGATCCAGTCACAGGCAGGGACGGTAGTGGTCTGAGGCTATTGCCATCAGGCCCAGCTTGGACCTGAAGCCAGGACAGACTAGAAGCTAGTCACCCATGTTCAGAAACATATCAGCACCTTGGGCAGGAAGTGTGGTATAATTGGCTTCTAGCCACACGAGGAAGCCAAGTCCTTTGAAATCTTGGATTATGTGTGTCTCTGCACGGTCCCTGGCTACCAGTGAGGAGGTACAGACAAGTGCACTGTAGCCACAGAGCAGGCCGAAGGGATAAAGGGGTAGACCTCTAGGGAGCCTCTCTGCACAAGACTCCAGTCCCACGTGTCTCCTAGGATCTACAAGTACCAGGCTCATGGCTATGCCTTCTCGGGTGTAGAAGAACTGCTCTACTCCCTGGGGGAGGCCACCTTTGTCAACATGACCCAGCGTTCGGTGGCCGAGTCCCTGCTCCAGGGGGGAGTCACACAGCGCTTTATTGATGACGTGGTCTCTGCTGTCCTGCGGGCCAGCTATGGCCAGTCAGCATCAATGCCTGCCTTTGCTGGTAAGTGCGCAGCCCTCAGCCTGCCTGTCCCCCTTGCCCACATCCTCAGAACAAGCTGGGTCCTATGAAAACCATTTTCTGGCTTATTACCGTTGCCCCATTTTTTTTTTTTTACCTTTTAAAATCACACTATATTTAAGCACATTGCCCGGGGTTCGTGGGAGGAGCCTTGCTTGGCAGGAAGGCCCAAGATCTTTCCTCTCTTCCCTCCCTCTCTTTCCCAGGAGCCATGTCACTAGCTGGGGCTCAGGGCAACCTGTGGTCCGTGGAAGGGGGCAACAAGCTGGTTTGTTCCGGTTTGCTGAAGCTCGCCAAGGCTAGCGTGATCCATGCCACAGTGACCTCTGTGACCCTGCACACTACAGGTGAGTGAACCAAACAGGAGTTATGCCCCTGCCATTCCTAGCCAGCCCTCCTCCTCTTCTGGACCACAACCAGAGTGGTTCCTGCTGGGAAGTATTTTTCAGAAAAATCAGGGAAAGGCCCACCGACCACCAGAGGGCGCTGACGCTCTTCGCGTCGGCACTAGGAAGCTTCCTCCCTGTATCTATTATTCCTTTGATTTCTGATCATTTGAGTGGCATCCTTACCTCAGCCAGTCAGCAACAGAACCAGAGAAGGGCTTAGACCTTCTAACATCCAAACCAGTGCTCACCCAGCAGCGGCATCAATATGGAAAGAAGGGACAGCCGAGCTGCCCCATGATGCCAGACTCTCTCTGCACCCCCAGTGTTGGGTCCCGGATGGAAGGAAGGTCAGTGGGGTAGAAGCGAAGGAATAAGTGGACGTTTATGTTCTCTCTCCTACTAGAAGGGAAAGCCCTGTACCAAGTGGGGTATGAGAGTGACAGGGGCAACAACTCTGAGTTCTACGACATCGTGGTCATTGCCACGCCCCTGCACCTGGACAACAGCAGCAGCAACATCACCTTTGAAGGCTTTACTCCCCCCATCGATGACATTCAGGGCTCTTTCCAGCCCACTGTGGTCTCCCTGGTCCACGGCTACCTCAACTCTTCCTACTTTGGCTTCCCCGACCCTAAGCTTTTCCCCTTCGCCAACATACTCACCACAGATTTCCCCAGCTTCTTCTGCACTCTGGACAACATCTGTCCAGTCAACATCTCAGCCAACTTCCGGCGGAAGCAGCCCCAGGAGGCAGCAGTGTGGCGGGTGCAGTCCCCGAAGCCCCTCTTCCGGACTGAGCTGAAGACCCTCTTCCGTTCCTACTACTCAGTCCAGACAGCGGAGTGGCAGGCCCACCCCCTCTACGGCTCCCGCCGCAGCCTCCCCAAGTTCGTGCTCCATGACCAGCTCTTCTACCTCAATGCTTTGGAGTGGGCGGCCAGCTCTGTGGAGATGATGGCCGTAGCTGCTAAGAATGTGGCCTTACTGGCTTACAACCGCTGGTACCAGGACCTGGACAAGATTGACCAAAAGGACTTAATCCACAAGGTCAAGACTGAACTGTGAGGGTTCCAGAGAGTCCAGGAACTCTGCCCCACACTGAAGATGGAGCCCATCTCAGCAGCACGGGGCTAACCAGGCCACATTCACGGGCTGCTCCGCTCTCTCTGCCACGGTGTATTGAGCAGATGTCCCCTGTGTGGGTCCAGGTGACCTGCTTTCTGCCTAAGGATCCTCTTAGAGGCTACCTTTTTTGTTTTTTAAGGGAGAGGTTAAGAAAAGGGAAGGAAATTCAGGCCAGTGTTTGGGGGGGAGGAGGTTGGGGTGATTTTTTTTGTTTATTTCTTTCTTGGGTTTTCTTTTTTCTTTTTTTTTTTTTTTTTTGTTACTGTTTTTCAAGAAGAAATAAAAATTCAGACTCCAAGCCACTTCTGACTTCATTTTCCCCTTACTAGAAGCCAAGATGTCTGAGAGAAGGACTATATAGCAGAGAACTCAGCTTTCTTTCCTTTCCGTCTTCCATTACCAACCCCCCAAAGGCACAGCCTACAGTAAAACATTTACCATCAGCTACCTAAAGAGAAGGCAAGTCAGAAAATGTCAGCGTTTGGATGGGCTGTTTGGTGTGGGTTCCAGTTCAGAATTTCTTCAAGACCATCGCTGAAACCTCCCAGCAGCACTGCGTATGATTGGCTCGACATTTACCCCGACATTGCCATCAGTAGAGCCCTGGGCTACCTGTCAATCAGGTAGAAAAATGGAAACAGATTGAGCCATAGGAACAACGGAAGCTTTTGACGGCCCCCGGAGGGATTGGCCATTTTCTTTATGTAAGGGTACAGGAGTCATGTGATGAATCTGTCTTGGCCAGGAGGAGAGTCCTTGGATGGTAGAGAGTGGTCCTACCTCACCCCTGAACTCCTCCCCTGAGCAAGGGAAAGGAGGGTGTGGGATGGAGTTCTTCAGAGGTTAATCTGGTGCTTTCTCTGGTTCTAGCTTCATGTAGAGAATTGCGCCTTCCTTTTTCTGTACCTATAAAGATCAGTAGACTGGGGCTGGTGATGTAGTTTAGGAATTGCATTCGTGAGGCTTTGACACCGCCAAACCATTACAGAAACAGATCAAATAGACATCCCAGGGTCACAAGCGTAGCTTGGTTTAGGGCATATATTTGGAATGCATGAAGCCCCAGGTTCAAGTCTCAGCACCACCAAGCTCCCAAATCAGCTTTTGAAGTGAAACTTGTCTTTGTTCCTTTGGACCTGGGCCTTTATGCAGAGGGAGCACACAGGAGTGGAGCGCGCGCGTGCACACACACACACCACTCAGACTTGTTAAACTGTGCTTTAGGGGAGAGGCTTGGATGTACAGAGGAAATATGGCCGCCAGAGGATCGTAGCCCAGAAGCTTGCCCAACAGATAATCCTAAGATTCATCTGGCTCTTTGTTCCTGCAGGGAAGGCAAGAGCTCACAGAGACAGCATAATTTGTCTGAGGTCTCAGCTCAGTTTTCTAGAACATCCCCAGTCTGGAGCTTCGCCTTAACTGAGGTCAGCATAAGAGCAGAAACCCCTCCCGTGCAGTTAGACTCACACCGGAACGAAGGTTCATGGTTTACCGGGCGATGGTGGTGGCAGTGAAGAGATGGTCGTACGTGGTGTCTATTACAGAAGCCGTAAGACTGGCACCCCAGTAAAACAAATTTTGGCTGAAGTAGAAGAACAAATGAAAACTCCCTGAACAGTGAAGGCCTTACTGGGTAAAACAATTTGAGGCCATGTGCAGAGCACAGGGCAATCCCCAGGTCCCTCTCTCACAGACAAAGACTGCAGTGTCAACAGATAGGACATGTGGACTAGCCCTGCGCCAATGCCTGTGGCCAGAGAAGGGCCAAGTGCTGATTGGTTGGGCTTCAGACACTGGACCAGTCATAGGGTGACAGAGTAAACCAATTTGCTTAGACTCACAGATTCGAATAATAACCATCTTGGGAGCAGAGGTCTTATCCAAATGTCATTGCTGTGGAGGTACCTATGTACCCCCCAACCCTCAAGTTCAGTGACGTCAAATCATGTGATGGTGCCTTCCAGAGAATTTTGAAATGCAGGTAGCACAGGCTGTCATCGTATGCCTGGTATTGGGCCAGAGGAGCAAAGACAATACAAAGCTACTCAGCTGACTCCGCCCCCTTGGGTCCCTAAGGAGAGTATGGCTTAGACCCAGGGCAGGTCCTTCCAGGACTTCATGCTAAGGCTAAGCTGGCTGTACTTCAGACCCTAAACAGCTCCAAACCAAATCCACTCTCAATGCCCTGAGGCCCACTTGCCCAAGCCTTCAAGTTCATCTCATGGTCTCATCATTTGCAGGACAGATTCCAAAAAGGGGAACACAGGCCAACTGAAAGCATCCCGGGGCCCACCTTGCCTTCTCAAGCCAGAACAGACATTCCCTGCCCAGGCCCAGAGAGGCCTGTGAGTCTGACCAGCAATGCAGAAGGGCACCACCCTTACTGTCTGTAGTCCACAGTATAATGAGTACTTAAAACCCTGCACACAGGGCTAAGAGCGTCGCTCGCTCATTAGAGCCCTGCCTAGCGTGCTCCAAAGCCCTGAGTCATCACATCACTGCCTGCAATCCCAGCATTCAGTAGTCAGGCAGGAGGATCAGAAGTTCAGGGTCTTCCATGGCTACATAGTAAGTTTGAGGCCAACCTGGGCTACATGAGATTCTGTCTCAGAAAAGAAAAAAAGAAAAGAAACCCACAAAACTCTACACAGATATTCTACTTTGTAGAGCAGATGACCTGAGCCGTCTTTGGGGCCAGGGCGCTAAGGAAGGCCTTGCTCTCACCCACTCATGAAGCAGCACTAAAGGAAGTAAGGAGGCAGACGGTAGGTCCCTGGAAGCCTCTGCATTTTATCTATGTCATGTTCTAGGAAGTGTGTATTTAGCTTTAGACCCAAGTAAGTTTCTAGATTCCTTATAGACTCACTTTTCCCAAGGCCTAAGCTCCCCTGCTCAGGCCCAAGAGGCCAAGTTTCAGGCCAGCCAGAGGGTCAGTGGACTAAGACAAGCTGGCAAGCCTGAAGACAGTTCAGCTCCAGGACCCACAGGGTGGAAGGAAAGAACTGACTCCCAGAAGTTACCCTGTGAGTTTCACAAGCGCATGTGGGATGCGTTTGTACATACGTTCTTTCTCTCTCTCTTGCGCTCTCACTCAAAGAAACAAATAAACAAAAACCCTTTTTATAGGAGAGGCTTTTACACATTGAAGTCCCAGGATTGTAAAGACTAGGCAAGAGCCTGGAGATAGTGAAATCTCATCCGCTCGTTTCAGATAAGGACCCAGCAATAGGGAGTCTTCACCTTGTATAACAAGTGTATACTAAGCATCTCTAAGATTCTAAAGCACCCTCTATAAGGATGGCCCTTTCTCGCCAAGAAGAGGCTTTCCTCCTGCCTACACTACCCATGCTCCCCCAGGACTCCTGCAGTTCACCTTCTCCCACAATGGCTTCCAGTAAAGTCTTGGAGATTGTACCCATCACATGGGTCTATGACCCAGAGAGCATAGGGCTTGGAGGATAGATAGCTAGGTGGTAAAACAACTCCTTAGCATGGACAAAGCCCGACTTCGATACCCGGCCTTTAGGGGCACACATAGATCCAGAGCACATCTGTGGGAGCCTTAAAGACAAGCAACCCCTACAGAAGTGGCTGCTAAAGGGATCGGCATGAGCTGGCACATGGAGTCTATTTTCCATGTGTCTGGAACCAGGCCAGAACTTCCCAGGGTAATTTTAACCAGTATACACTCTACAACAATACCAAAAAAGGTAAGTTACTTTCCAGCCCAGACAGGCACATACCTAACCATTGGCTTTTCATGAATTAGACAGTTAAAGCATTCCACACTGAAGCTGTTGTACGCACACAGGCTCAAGCAGCTGAGCGAAATGTTCCCGCAGTGGGCTATTGACCCTTTGTAGGACGTTAGCTCTAACGTGTTAGTTCATCTCACCCACGGAAAATAACCCAAGCCCCTCAGCTGTCCTGGGGGGAGGCAAGGTATTTTTAGAGCCCAGGACAGCTGATTGGGGATTTGCTGTGGGATTAGAAGGCCCAGGGGGATAAGATTCAATTACAAGGGGAAAGAGCTAGTATCAGGGCAAGACCCAGTATGGGCTTTAGGATAACCCCATACTGCCGGGGTTGGTCAGTAGAATGTTTTGATGTGACCCAGTGGTTCTCCAAGTGCGGTCACAGATGGCAGTATCAGCTCCCCCACAGTAGTAGAGATTAAAAGAGGCCACAGCACTCAAGTGGAAAAATAGCAAACCCCACCTAAGTCAGCACCTCTGAGTACTGAGCCAGAAGTCTGCCTGGACAAGCCTCACGCTGACTGACATTTTGAGGATTGCAGACACTGGTACCTAGTGCTGCAGATAAGTGGCTGGATGAACAATGACCTGTCCAGTTTGCCTTTCAGCTCTTGAGTGTTTAAAAATCAGAGTTCCCCTTCCAGAAAAAAAGAAGAAAAGAGGGGGAGAAGATGCTGATGCTGATTTAGGACCTCTTGGGCCACCAAAGACCCTTAGGGGGAGGTTAGGTCTGTTCTGCAAAGAACCCTGGGGCTAAGGGCAACCCTTCCCATCTGTGGCAAGGGTCATTGCCACAGCATCCAGGAGAGGCTGAGCCCTAGCTTGGTACTGCAGAACCTGGAGCAGCCTTTTAGGACTGTGTGTCTTAGTAACTTGAGTCAGCTGGGTAGCGTATCGGCTTATGACAGCCGTGTTCCAGTTATACAGTTGCTACAGGGAAGAGCGCAGAGGAAGTCTGCCACCATCTCAAGAGATAGAAATGGAAGCAGTATTTGTTTCCTGAGTCTCGTGTATCCGAGGCTATACTCGTAGCCAAGGGTGGCCTTGAATTTCCTGACTTACCCACCTCCAGACTACTGCTATTACAGATGTGCACCACCCTGTTGTTTTATGTAGTGCTAGAGATGGAACTCGGAACGTCATTTGTGCTGGGCAGACTCTTTAACTGAACTACATCCCCAGCCCAGCATTTTCTAATAGCCTGGTTCACTCTTGAGGGCCCAAGTCCTGGGAAATGCTCACTCAAACTGATCTGGAATTTGTTTCCCAGGGATCTCCAACCCGGACACAATTTTAGTTTCCTAGTCACAAGGAGCAAGCCCAATGCCTTCCTTTACAAAAGACAACATTTACTGTTTATCAGCCTTGCAGGAACACAGTGGGTGCGGGGAGGGAGGAGTAGCAGTGGCCACAGGCTTGGTGGCTCAGAAGATGCAGGTGCAACCCACCGCGATGGTCTCCATGACGACGCGGTGACGGCAGGGCCCAGGGCGCGGAGGTGGCGGACAAAGGCGGCGGCGCACTGGCACCTGGCTGAACACTGGCACACTCACCATGCTGCGGTCCTCCTGCATGGTGAAGGGGTTCACGCAGCCCAGACAAAGGCAGCGCGCCTCAGGCAAGTCCGCAGGAATGCGGCTGGGGTCATGGTTGATGCTGCAGGGAGCGAGCCGGTGGGAGAGAGCTGGGTGAGCGCCACCATTAACAACAAAGGGAACTGCCCAGCCATCCCCAGGGTGTCCTATAGAGTTAGGGTTAGGGCTAGTGACAAGGGTGTGTTGTAATGAGCTCTGCCTTCCCAAAAAAGGAGACCCCGATTTGGAAGTCACTGCTAGTCAGGTTCTGTCACCACTGTGTCCCCAGCTTCCTCCTTTTACCCAGTAAGATACCACGGGGACCATGGAAAAAAACTAAGCCTTCCCTCTTATCTACCCTGTTTTTATATTGTGGGGAATTAATCTACAGGGAGAAAACGTTCACAAGTGGGTGTAGAATCTGCACTGGAAGAGGATCTGAGCCTGTGTTCTATTGTTTTACTGAACCTCAGAGACTCAACAAGTTTTAGGGTGTTGTGGATTGGTTTGGATTGGTTTGGTTTTTTTTTTTTATTCTATTCTTTGTTTTGTTTTTGTTTGTTTGCTTGCTTTTTGTTTTTGAGATAAGGTCTTGTTTTGTAGCTCAGGGTGACCTCCTGCCTGCAATCCTCTTGCCTCAGCCTTCCCCGTGCTGGAATTACACCACGCTCAGCCCAACAAATTGTTGATTTTTTTTATTCTACCATCTATCTATCTATCTATCTATCTATCATCTATTATCTATCTTCCATCTATCTATCATCCATCTATCTGTCTGTCTGTCTGTCTGAGATCAGAGGAGACCTTACAAGGAGCTAGAGGGCAGCTTGTAGGAGTCAGTTCTCTCCTTTCCCATGTGAATTCTGGAGATTGTATTTTTATATACATACTACGTTTTTGTTTTGTTTGCTTTTTTTTTTTTTTTTTTTTTTTTTTTTTTTTTTTTTTTTTTTTTTTTTTTTTTTTTTTTTTTTTTTTTTTTGGTTTTTCTAGACAGGGTTTCTCTGTGTAACAGCTCTAACTGTCCTGGAACTCACAGAGCTCTGCCTGCCTCTGCCTTCCAAGTGCTGGGATTAAAGGTGTGTGCCTCTACCACCTGGCTCACATACTGTGTTAAAAGAAAATCAGGATGACTCAGTGGTTAAGAGCACTGGCTGCTCTTCCAGAGGACCTGGGTTCAATTCCCAGCACCCATATGGCAGCTCAGAACTGTCTGTAAATCCAGTTTCGGGGCATCCAACACCCTCACACAGACATGCATACAGGCAAAATACCAATGCACATAAAATTAGAAATAAATAAATAATTTTTTTAAAAAAAAAGGCAAATCAGTCTTAGACTTGAGACACTCATAGTGAGATCCTTCCAAGGTTGTTTCAGACCTAGAATATCTTTCTTCTCTGTCTCGATTTCCTCCTCAGTTAAACACAAATGAGAGGTAAGAGAATTAGACCTAGGAACACCCAGTGTCAGTCACCTCATTGTGCTTGGGAGCTCCTTGGAAATAAATTTGAAGTCTCCCCAATGAGCCTACAGTTTTACAATCTCCCTCACTGGCACATGAGCACAGCCAAGTAGGAGCAAAATGTGGTCTGAAGGCCCTTTGCTGATTGCATTGTCACAGTCCAAGGCTACACTGCTCAACACGGTAGCCACTGGCTATATAGCACAAGTGCCGACCTAAACCTGAGTCAATCTATACTAGTCCTTCAGTCTCATTCCGGTGGGTCACTAGTCACCTGGCCACGGCAGGGGACTTCATCCCCAGAAGTTCTGGCCAACAGTGCTAGTCTAGGGTCTTAGGATATAAGCAGCGTAGCTGGAAAAGCCCTGGGCTGAGTTTGTGAGCGAGCTAGCTATTTCTTCACTCCATCGAATCCGTGTACCTTGGGCCTCTTCTGCACGCTGACCTAGCAGGTGGCGATGGACACACAGACATTGCCTCTGTAACCCAGAGCCTCAAAGTGATCCCCAAGTCAAAGCAGGGGCCATGCACCCTAAGCATGGAGAGGCAGGCGCAACTCTGTGATCCGGGCATCAGTCCTAGGGAATCTGTCTGGGTGAACACGGGAACCCTGAGGTGGTTCTGAGGCAGATTTTAAGAAGGAACCTGTCTGATGTGAAAAGTGTGAGCGTAGCCAGCAGGCATAAACCACCATGCTGGACAAAGTACTTTGGAAGCCCTACATTTGAGACCCGGAGGATAAAAAGACAGCACTGTGTATGTCTATCTGTGAAGGACATACCACCATTATTATTATTCCACTGACAGCTGGGGAAACTGAGGCTCAGCAAAGCTATTCAACTGGCTGAAAGATACAGAAGAGAGATTAAAATTCACCTGAATCCCAGGTCTTGAACACAGCATCTGGGACAGTGGAAACGGTGGCCTGCTGGGCCCAGCCCACCTACCTGTATCCCCAAGGAGATAGGCTTCTCTTGTTGGACAGCCACAGCTGCAGGTTGACCTCGCATTTCCTCTTGGCTGTCTCAGAGCTGTTCCTCAGCTGAGCCACCATCTCTCCAAGGTTCCTCTCATACTCTTCCATTCGAGCGTAGGGCTTTACGCGAGAGACCAGGTCCAGTGGCACCTGGTGAGGCCCAGGGGCCAAGGGGCCAGGCCGCCCTTGCCCCTTCCTTTTGCCTTTGGTGTTTCGGGGCTGGCTTGGCCCCAGGAAGATAGAGATGGCAAGAAGGAGCAGCTGAGAAAGAAGGCTATTGGTCAGAGGCCAGAACCAAGTCTCTCTGGGCCAAGGCTTAGGGTTAGGGCAAAGAAGAGAGAGGCCTCTGTGTTGGCCGCCTTGTGTATGGACACTTGTGTTGGGCACTGATGACACTCCCGCATCTTGAAGTCCTTGAAATCAGGTACCTCCGGAAAATGCCCCTGCCCACTCTAGTTACTCAATTTGCAGACCATAGTTGCTTCCCAGGACAGCTCCACTGCCTCCCAACTGGCTTTTCCAAGGCTGCCTGGCTCCTAACCAACTCACCGTATCAAGGCCAGTGGCGGCCATTGAAAAGCGTTTCTGACATTGCCACCTTCCCTCTTAATGTCCTTCCTGAGGCCCTTTGGGGGCGAGGGTCTCCTGTGTCCCTTCTGGCCTCCTCTGCTCTTGTGCTCACCATGTTCCTTGCTGTGGGAGGGAGTTTGCACCCTGCCCACCAAGTCCTGCCTTTTCCTTCCACCTTCTGAAAACCTTGCCCAGCTGTGGGCTCTAGGTCACTGCCTCAGCGTTGCTTCTGGACATCTTGGAGTCGCCACGCCCCACATGTCCCTAACACGTCCGCAATTGTACTTGGACATGTGATTCTTTGATATCTCCTTAGCTGTTCCCCCCAGGGACAGACTCCCTTCCATGCATCTTATCCCCTTGTGCCTGCGTCTGCAGAGCGAACGGATTCCACCACCACGCCTGCCCAGGACCTCAGGGACCTCAGTGCTGTTAACTGTGGGGGTGGAGCAGAAAGGTAGCGGAGTGGCAAGGGCAGGCATGGCTGGGGAGCAGGGCTCTCCCTTTGGGGCAGCAGGGTGGCTGGGCCCAGCTTCTCTGGAGACTCATCAATGGAATAAGAAAGAGGATTCGTGAGCAGAAGCAGCCTAAAGTCTTCCAGGGACGCGGATGAGGGGGGGGGGGGGGTTTGAGCCGCTTATAGGCTTTGCCGAGAGGAAATGAGTTGAAACAGAGTGGGCGAGAAGGAACACTGCATGGAGCTGGCAGAGCTGGCGCGTGGTTCCTGTAAGACTTCATTTCCAGATCTTTCTCTCCCTCTCTGTCACACAGACACACACACACACACACACACACACACACACACACACACACCACCCCCTCCACCTCAGCACCAGACAACCTACCTCACACCCTATTCCAGCTCACTGTTTCTCATTCCATTTCGGAGTCTTACCAGACTCTGTGCCTTCCCTGCATCTTGGCCCACGGGGGTTGGAGGGAGGCGGGAGGGAGGGGGACAGGCCTGGTTTATCATCCGGGCTACCCAGCAAGCTTGACCCTTAGAAACAAGTCCCAGCCTAGCCCCTCTTGGCAGAGCCACTTGCTGGCATAAAAGCCGGAGCAGTGAATTAGGTTGCTAAATTCTTCCCTTTGGTCCCATGTTCTGCAGCAGAAACATTTCCCTCACTGCAGGCCGTCTCGGCTGAGCTGCCCACACGTCCCTCAACTCACCTTGCAGGGGAAACAGATCAAATTCAACATCCCCTCCCTCAGTTTCCAGATGGGTAACAAAGACAGAAGGATTTGCCCAAGATCATGCACGCTGCCCAGATCGCAGAAGCCAGGTCTGGAAAAGCTCTAGTGCCCGAGTCTGCCCAGATCCACCCGGGACACTTCCTCCTGAAAGAGTTCAGTGTGACCAGGCTATGCCCAGAGCCGTAGCCCAAGCCTTAGGTCATGACTGCAGGCTGAGACCAGGCTCTGTTTCTCTCTGGGCCTGCAGGAGAGGACAGAGCTGGTCCCTGCAGATTCCAAGCCAAACACAGGCAGCCATTAATCAATGGGGGAAAGAACAGCTACAGAGAAGGGAGCACCACGTACCAGGCTGTGTGGCCAGTCCATCCCACCAAGCCAGGCAGCAGGCCTGCAGCTGCCACCGGCCAGGAACCCCAGATGCCGCAGAGAGAGAATAGCAGCAACAGGATGGACTGAGGCAATTATAGCTCCACGGGGGGCTGCTGGGGGGTGTGGGTGGGTGGGCTCACTGTCAGCTGGGAGCCTTGGGCCCCCAGCTGGCTGGGCCTTAGCACAGTGGCAGGCGGTGAGGGGTGTGGGGGCAGGCCAGGAGCCAGGCCCTGAGGTGCCCAGGGGCTGTTGACCGAAGGACAATGTCCTGTGTGTCTGGTGGGGCCCTGGCTGATGGCACCTCCGCCTGTGGCCTGCGGCCGGCTGACCAGCCAGCACCCACAGCGCCAGTTAAGACAATCAGCTTCGTTTGCTTTGGGGATGGCCAGGGGGAAGGGGGGTAGGAGGGATGGGCTGCTGGTTGGTCAGAAGAGAAAATGTACTGGGGCTGTCTTGGTCCAGAGCCAGACAGTACTATCTCCCAAGGAAACCGCCACAGGTACTCTAACCAGCCTCAGGTGAGCTCACTTCTAGTTACAGGCAGGGAAACTGAGGCCCGAGCGAGAAGGGAATTAGCCCGGTATTCCACAGTGAATTAGCCATGTCAGAGCTGGGATTTGGGCCTGGTTCCGATCCAGAACTCAACACACCACGCTACACTGTTTGTGTTGGGATATTTTCTGCGCAGTTCTAGCCCTCCGTGAACAGTCTCCGAGTCTGCGGGCTCCACCCAGGCCAAGGTGCAGATACCGAAAAGCTTCATGGAAGTAACCTTCTTACAACCTTCATGGGAGTAACATTTGCCATCTTGCATGAGAGATCTCCCCTTTCAGGGCCTATCCCCTGTCTGACAACTGCTTATGACCTTCTTCCTCTCTCACTCTCGTTCCATTCTCTATATAATGAGGGTCACATCCCAGGAGTAGCAGCCCCTGCTGACTCCTACTGACTGTCTATGTCTGTTTCCATATCTCTCGAGGCTGCTACAAAGAATAAAGAAATAGGCCATATCATAGCTGACAATGCTTGGCACAGAGGAAGAGCCCAATAAACACTTTACTGTTTATTATAAAACGATGCTGTAATGATTATAATTATTACGTTTCTTATTATAAACAGCAGCTGTCTTAGTATTAGGGCTCATGGACCTTTTGCACCTCGCCCTTGTACCTCTCAAACCAACCCTGCTGGCTGAGACACTGCCTGCAGCCTTCCTAAAGAGGGTTCCAGCTTCATGAGCTCAGGTGACCCAGGGTCCATGGGGCCCCAAACGCTAAACTGACGGTGAACCCTCTGTGCCTAAGGCCACTCACCTTGAGTGAACGGTCAACTGAAAATTGAGCAGTAAGTACACTCCCCGGGGGGTGCCCAGGGGTGGGGGCAGCAGAGGAGGAAGGGGTGGGCGAGCTCCCCTGTCTTGTCTTGCTGAGGGCCAGTCTTGGCCATTTACAAGAACTAGGGAGAGGAGGAGGGCAGGGTGAGAGGCTCCTGAATGTCACAAGATTAATCTGTGCAGGGCAGGTTTCCACAGCATAACTGAGGAGCTGGCTGGGGCGTGAGCTCCTTGAGAGATACCACCATATTTGGTCAAATACTAGAGAGGGCTCTGTGCTGTCCTTGGAAACTCCAGAAGGCGGGAGACTCTGAAAAAATACCTCCTTGGGCAGCAAGCCCCCACCCCCACCCCTGGCTGTCCCAGCCCCTCTTTGAACAAACGAAAGGACCTGGCTGAGGGGTGAATGGAGGCAGCCTAGCTAGTTCTTCGCTTTCTTCTACTGCTATAGAGGGGCCCACGATAAAGTGAGGAAATTGAAAAATACGTACTCGGATATGGAGGTTCCTCTGCCTTTCAGAACCCCAGAAATATCCATCCTGTTACTTGCTAGAACATGGCCCCTTCCTTCTGATCCCTAAGGACGAAACGCAGCTGCCCGGGACCCAACTACATGGTATGCTGATAGAGATTCCCAAATAACAGAGTCTAGTAGTGCAAACTGTGGTGGCATCGCTTGCAAAGTGGAAGCAAAAGGACCAGGGGTTCAGGGAGCTCTTCGGCCACACATCACATTCAGAGCCAGTCTGGAATACAAGAGACCTAGTCTCAGAACATACTCAAGAAGGGAAGGTGGGTGTCGATCTATTCCCAGTGTTTTAGTCCGGAGATATTGGCACAGGAAACCCAGGAGTCTTCATTTTTAATACAAGCCAGTCTGGAAGCTACAGAGATCTTTGCTTCTCACATAGTCCACGCCCCATCCAGGGTTGAAGTTCAGAGAGGATGGGCCTTCCCAGGTTCACAGGGGCTTTCCCAGGCTCACACAGTATTTATGCTGGATCTGGAAGCAGAACTATCTCCCTGGTTCGATCCACTGGTCCTCCCTCAGTGCTTAATACTAACAGCCTTGGGCTAGGCTGAGCCTCCTTGCTAGTCTGTAGTGGACAGAGAAGCTAGGTCAGTGCTTCTGAGAACTCAGATTGCTTACAATGGGCCCCAGGGACAGCAGAGTAACTGTCACCAGTTTCCCCATTCCTGGGCTATCTTGAACCAGAAAGAAGCCGCTTCCTACAGCTTTGGCCTTGAAAAGCCACGGTAGAGTCATTGATTGTCCCGTAGTGATGTCCAGAGTGTAGACCTGTGGAGTCCAGTCTCAGAGTTTGGTGCAAGGCCAGAAAGGAAAGTGAAGAAACCAGGAATTCAGGTCTCCATCTGCCTTGTGTATGAGGATGGAGTCCTTAGGTCTTCATGAATAAGGATTGGAAGCACCTGTGAAGATGCACGGATGGGCAGCCAGCAGCAGCAGAGATGCGGAGATCCCTGGCACCTCTACTACAGACCTGCCGGGAGCCTCACTGCACTCACCACTAGATGGCGCCAAGAGAAAGCCAGACAGCCTTGAAGAACAGCCAGGCCTTTCCTTCCTCGCGGAGTAGACGCTGAAGCTGTGGGCAAGGCCTGTGCCTGCCCCTGGCTTCCCAGTAACCGTGCTGTTGAGGAGCAGTGTTAGAGGTGTCTTCCGCATCAGAACAGACATGGCCAGCCAATCCGTGGAGGACAATGACTGAGAGTTTCTTTCCTTTTTTCTTTTGGGGGTGGGGGATGGGGTTAAAGACAGGGTTTCTCTGTGTAACTGTGGCTGTCCTGGAACTTGCTCTGTAGGCCAGGCTGGCCTCAAACTCACAGAGATCAGCCTGCCTCTGCCCCCCGAGTGCTGGGATTAAAGACAAGTACTACCACTGCCCGTCTGTGACAGAAAGTTTCTATCTGCTGACCCCAGAGTACCTGCTTCCTTTCTTTGAGCATCCACTATGTACTAGGACTTTACTATCTGAAACACGGTACCATTGTCTCAGCAAACAGTAACTGCGAGCCCGGGGCAGTAGTTCAGTTGATAAAATGCTTGCCACGTAGGCATCAGGGCCTTGGTTCAATCCCCAGAAGCGAAGTGGAGAAGCCAGGAGTGTTGGTGTTCACTGCACACTCTAATCCAGTGTTGGGGAGGCAGAAACCAGCAGATCCCTAGAGCTTGCTGGTCAGCCAGCCTAGCCTACTGTGAAAGCCCTTAGCCAATGAGAGAGCCTGGCTCAAAAACACAAGATGAATGGCTCCTGAGGGACGGCCTCTGAGTTTGTCGTCTGGCCTCCTCCGCATGGACCTGCACACATGTGCACATACATACATACATACTTGAGTAGGAGGAGGGCATTAATCAGTAACTGGGTGCCGGGCAGGCGCTAACTCCTCCACGTATGTTGGTTCGTGGGACAATCCCAACACACCTGTAGTGCAGTAATTACTCTCTCTCGAGACTTGGGGAAACTGAGGCTTAGGACGGCTACTTAACTATTTGCCCAAAGTCACTGAAGACACAAAACAAGTTTGCTTTACCACTTCATCTCCTGCTGCAGGGCAGGTAGAAGACACCGCCCCTGAAGGGGAGGACTGCCCATCAAAGGGGATCTGTAACACCTCAGCCTCACCCAGCGTTCTCGAGCAACCCAGATGGGGCAAGGTGAGGAGCTCAGGAGAGGAAGTACATAAGAGTTCTTGGGAGACGCGAAATCGCCCCAGCCCAGCGGTGGTCTAGTTAGAACGTTTCTGGCACATAGAAAGCACCTGCTAAGAATGTGATACATTCAATCAAACCAGTCAGTTGTGACACAGGATGGCGACGCTGGAACTCAGGATGAAAGATGGGCGCTATGGGACCCAGAGGAGCAGGGATCTCCTCCAGGGTAGTGAAGACTCCACAGGTTGGTGGATGTTAATCTTGACCCTGTCTTCCTCGTCATAGCTGTGTGACTTTGGGGAAAGAGCTGGTTTATCTGACCCTTTGTTTCCTCTGTACAATAGAGATGATAATTTGGGGCTGGACATGTAGCTCAGGTTGTTGGAATGCTTGCCCAGTTGGCACGAAGTCCTGGGTCCGATCTCTGGCACGGCACAAACCAGGTGTGTTGGCTCGTGCCTGTAATCCCAGCATTCAGAAGGCAGAGGCAGGAGGATTAGAACTTTAAGGCCATCCTCAACTACATCATAAATCTGAGGCCAGCCTAAGCTACCAGAGACCCTGTCTCAAAATTGTGAGTTTTCAATGGGTTACTGTAAGGATGGAAGAAGAATGTGTCCTACGGTGCTTTGTGCCGTGCCTGGCAAAAGCGAGCGTCCAACTAGTGATAGCAGAAATCGGGATTGCACTTATTAAGATGAGCCTTAACTTGGGCTTCCAAGGGTGCCTTTGGAGCATTCCTAAGTAGAAATACGGCATTATTGGGTGGGGATGAGGCGAGAGCCAGTGAGACAATGCAAAGGTTTCTCTCTTCAATGTGCCCACTCCAGAATCTCAACCAGGCAAGGAAGCTAGGGGATGTGGCCCCAGACCCCGATCAAGGGGGTCTAGTTAGGCAGGAAGAGGCTACAGGCTCTTTTACTGGCAAGAGCCCCCAAAAGCTCATCCTTCCAGGAGGTCCTGCCTCCTCTGCCATGCCGTCGTCCCCTCCCTCCAGGGTAGGAATCCTTCTCCCAAGCCCTTATTTGCACAAATGCCTGCCTCACTGCTCACTCCAGAGTCCCAGCCAAGAGGGTCTATTTTAAGCTCCAGAGACAGGAACATTGTTGGTGGGAATAGCCCTAACCAGTCAGCTCCCAGTTTTCAAAAAAGGGAAAGGCTGGGCGAATGAGGCCTGTAGAGGGGCAGCCACGTCAGCAGGACCCTGGGCCCAGGCCAGTCACTAGCGTCTGCACCCCCCAAAGGGTGGATGTCAAGCAAGTATGAGCTGGAGTCGGTTCTCGGATGACCAGCTCCGAGATGCCCGTCGGCCAGTGTCCAGGACTGAAAATACCAAGGCCTTGCTTCTAGGCTGCAGATTGACTGTGTGTTCTGCTTTGTGTCCCAGTGCTTGCCACCCAAAGACATTGCCCACAGGCAGGGACACCTTGCCAGCCCTTCCTGTGCAGGGTCTTTGCTGGTGACCTCCCTGCCTCTCTCAGGATACACATTCCATCTTGGATGTAACAGGCACTTCGTGTTTGGCCTCTTTGGGCTGTTCTCGTTGTAAATTTGTTCCTTGTGCACTTTCTTTATTTCTCTCTCTCTTTTTTTTTTTGGTTCCTGTCCTGGCACTAGCTCTTGTAGACCAGGCTGGCCTCGAACTCACAGAGATCCGCCTGCCTCTGACTCCCGAGTGCTGGGATTAAAGGCGTGCGCCACCACCACCCAGCCTCCTTGTGCATTTTCATGGGTCTATTCTTGCTCTTTGATGTTCATGAAGACTATTATTTAAATCCTAGACTTTGAACCAAAGTAAAGGACCCCAGCCCAAGGCACGCAGCAGTTGGGCTATTGAGGTCACCTGGGGCTGGCCCCCCAGCCTCCATCAAAGGGGAGAGAATAATGAAAATGATGTCATCTGTGTGCTATGCCCACCAGTGTGACATGAACGGCCTAGCTACTGCTTGCTTGCACACATTTTGTTCTTAGCTCTGTCAGATCACGTAGCACGGCATAATTCTAGTCAGTTCAGTCCTAAAACATTGTAGTTCCCAGAGAGACCTCAAAATAGAAGTAACAACCCTAGGGAAGAATGGGCACCCCACGAGTTTCAGCAGAGGCAAGAAGCCTGGCTGGGGACACTGTGTAAGACAGGTAGGGGATCCGCCTTCCCAAATTTTAGAAGCTCCCAGCATGGAAAAGTCCTGATCGTTTATTAAGGCCCTGGGACCTAATAAACAAGGCCCTGCTGCCTGCACTCGCTCAGGCCTGGGCAGGAAGGAGCAGGATATAAACAGCCTGCGTGCATAGTCCAGGCACCGGGCTGCCGGCTCACCCGCACATCAGCACCTCAGACCCGGGGGATGTTTATAATCTGCTAGAGCCTCCAGGACTCTGACGCCCTAAGTCACCACTCAACCTCCCCCATTCCTGGGTGGGTCTGTGTCTCTTTGGGGTGGGAGATCCCACTACCCAGCAAAGAAAAAAAAAAAAAAAGAAACAAGAACAGTCTCACAATCCAACCCCGGGGAAAGGGAACAAGCCAGGGTGTAGGCACAGGGGACGAGATGGGGCAGCCAGCATCTTGCTGGCTTACAACAAGGAGTCTTGGAGTGACGTGGTCTAGAGTGGAGAGCGGTGCCTTCAGCAGGTCAGATTTAATAGTAGGCCCTAGCTGGGGAGATTGGTACTGAGCTGTTTTATTAGAGGTGGCTCTGTGGTGGGGATCTGGGGGCGTATGGCCTTGAGGGTAGTGTCTCAGTGCCTTGCTGCAGTCCTGGAGTGTCATCAGGGAGCTCTGTTTCCAGGCAGTGGGTGTATTTCATTCTCCTGCTCTGGAGAGCCTGGGGCAGGGATGACCATGCGGATTTGCTCCCATTCTCCCCAAGGGCAACTCACAACCCACCAGCCGGGAGAAGAGACAACTCTAAACACAGTCTCTTACCCCTTGGGAGCCATTGCCAAGGCTCCTGCCCCAGCCTTCTGACCTCCAGAGAGTTCATAGGTGTTTAGTGTTATGACTCGCAACCCAGTCTCCCTGGCTGTGTGGTCTGTGTAGTCTGGAGGAAGCAGTGATGGTTAAATGTAATCTCCAGTTAGTGAGCAATGTCCTTTGAGGCTTCAGCCTGCGGGCAGTGAAGAGCTTTGGAGTGTTCCCAAGGGGTGGTCTACCCACTTCACTAAGCAAATGTATATTAAGCAACTGCATTGTGCTCAATGTGTCCTAGGCCCTGGGGGTCAGCATGGACATTTCCACTAACTCCTAGACTTGCGCTTCGGCGGACACTGGCAGATGTGGCAATACCCCTGCTTCAGGGGCAGCAACGCGTCTTGGAAGAGCTCTGGCTGAACACTTCTGCTCAGCCTTCTGCATCTCCCACATTCCTTGGCAACTGGTGGTTCGTCTTCTGAGAAGCCTGGGACCCTGGACTCAGCTCACATATGGAGAAAAGCACTGTCCCCAGAATGTGACGTCTCACCCAGTTTCCACGGGAGGCCAGTTCTCTAGATAGCAGGAGGAAAGAAAGGCCAGCCTGTGTGATGATGGTCATTTCTGGAGCCTGCCTTCCAGGAAAGAAGTCTGCCATTGCTCTGTTGTTGGAAGGAGCTTTCCAGCCCCTGGCTCTGGGACACACAAGATGTCCCCTGCCCAGGTCATAGACAGAGGCAGAGGACCACTGCCTGAGGAGTGGGAGGTGATACTCCTCACGGGCATGCAGCCCCCTCCACTTTAAAAGCAGTCATTCCCGTGACTTCAGCACAGGAAGTGAAATCACTATAAATATTTAACAGAAGAAGGAGTCCCAGGTAAGAGATGCGACCTGCCCATGGCCATACAGTGAGGGGAAGAGAGACAGAGGTTGGCATGAACGCTGGGCCTACAGCGTCCCTAATCTTTGCCCTGCTTTAGAGAGAGGTAAGGGGCACCAGGCCGGCTAAGGTCAGAGGCATGTGACCGATTATCAGATGGCCTCCACTGAGGGGTCAAAGGCCAGACGAATGATTTCAAGCTCTGTTCACAGCTGCCTGTACTCTGTTCACGGCAGAGGATTTATCTGTCAGAGGGTTTCATGCCCGAGCACCAGAACACTGAGTCAGAGGTCAGGCTGACCAGCTCTGTCTTCACAGTGAGCTCTCTGGGTGACCACGTGGCTTGCCTGTTGCACATGGCTATGTTCGGAGGACTTTCTCTTCCATTCTAGCATTCCCTTGCTTTCACCCCGTTATCTCGGCCCCCAAGCTAGGTCTGGCTGGGCATTCTGGAATCAGTGTCTTCCTAAGGACATTGCAGATCCCCCCTTCAGTTCTCAAGCGCCACAGGACCAACAAAGCACATTTTTCTGACACTCTTTTCAAAGGTCTTTTCGTCTTCTGTGTCTGAACCTTTTTTCTGCTGCCCATACATTGACTGAGAATACATAGAACAAAGCTGATACCTCTGTCCATGCTAAGCAGTCAGTCAGGATAAATGAGGTTGTGCTGCAGCAACTAGCAGCCCCCAAATCTGAAAGGGTTGGTGCAGCCAAGGCACCCTCATCACCCATGCTCCATGACCCGTACAGGTCACAGAGCCCCGTCCATCAGAACCATCCAGAGATGCAGAGATAAAAACGTCCCCTCACGGTTGTGACCATAAACATCGCAGCAGGCTTCGAGATTTGTAGACGGCTCGTCTGCAGAGACCAAGGATATTTTGGAATATCTATTCCAACCACACACTTCATTGGGGTAAAATTCATCTATCTCTCTTTCTCTTTTTCAGTGCAGTGAAGGGAATCATACCCAGGCCCTAGCATATGAGAGGCAAATGCTCTAACCACTGAGGTTCACCTCCCGCCCTCTCTTTTGTCTCTGTTAGTTTCTCATCTCTAAAATGAGGATGATGAAGAGGTACCCATCCCGCTCCTTTGCTGGGAGTTGAGCTGGTAGGATGGAGGTTAAGTTATCCATACAAGAGCCTGGTTCTTCGAGTTTTCTGTCAGCTTCCTGACTGGTGCTACGCTAGTGTAACGGTGTGACCGTTTCTCCACAGAGCGACCCTGGCTCTCCCCGTTCCCCCGTGTTGTCCCACTTCACCCCGTCAGTTGCTTTCCCTATCAGTGCCTGTTCCTTTGTTTTGTTTCTCATTTCCTCTCACCGGAGGGAGATCGGGGACTGAATACCGAGGCAGAGAAAGGTGTGCCCGCGTGTCTTTCCAACCCCCTGCCAGCGGCATGCAGCTCAAGTTCACTACCAAGTTCTTCGGTGGCGAGAGCAGAAAACGGAATTTGGGAAAGAATCCTTGCTTGAGATGAAACTGTGGTAAGCACCGAAATCAACCAGCCTTTGTTGGAGCTGGAAAAGACTTTGAAAACAACGCCCATTGGCTCTTTTTTTTTCCCCAAGGATGGACAAACAGAAGTCTGAAGACCAAAGACTGATTTAGTGTCACAAAGAATTTAGAGTCACCATTAGAACCAGAGCCCACTTCCTTTACGCCAAGCTTGGGACTTTCCACGTACCACCTAAGGGGGCAATGTGCTCCACCATCAACATAGAGCAGGAAGGGGCCGCCTTGGAATCATGGCAAGTGCACTATCCACAGGGCTCTCCTCCAGCAGAGTTATAAACCCGAGAGCCTTATAAACATTACCTTATTAAGGCTTCTTGGAAGCCCAAGGTCACAGCTCCTCTGGGTCATGGGACACCAGCTGCAGGTCCAGTGAACGGAGGACCACGTAACATTTTTCACTTGGTTTAGCAAACCTGTTTTCTAATTATAGGATTTGTTTTACAGTCCTGAGTGGTTTATGAAGGAAGACTTGGAGTCAGTAGCAGTCCTAAAGGCAGGCTGAGAGTGTCCGATGGAAAGACCGGGCAGGGTGGGGATGTCTGCAGGGAGGGGAGGCCCTGCAGCATGGCAGAGGGTAGGGCAAGCAGTCTATGAGCAAGCCAGGCAAGGTGGGATGTTCATTTTCTCTGTCTCACCGGTCAGGTTGCTCTCAGTTGGAAACCCTACCTCCCCGCCCCCGTCTATTAGCATAACCCTCTGGCACCTGGCGCTGACCTACAGCAAGCAGGTGGAATGATCACCTTGTTGGCCCTGCCTTGGCACCACCTCCATCCATCCCCATGGTCACGCTTCTTATCCACAGAGACAGGGAGTGGATACTGATTGGGGGCTAGGGGGAGTTATTATGAAGGTGACTAGCATTTCACTTCTCTGCAGCCAAGCTGGGGCACAGAACTTGCCAGAACCACCAGCCCCTCCATACCAAGATTCGGAGGGCCCAGCCCCTCTACTGTATTGTCATGACCCTCCTCATTCAGGACCACACTGCTCCGTCTATGACCCTGCCAATCCTCGCCATGCCTCGCGCCTCCCAAACCCCACAGCACCTCCATGCCTGAGTTAGCACACACAAGCACACACACACACAGAGACACTTTAGAACCCCTCAGACAGAAACGTTCCATACGTGCCTAAAACTAAGGTAGCTGTTTTTCCAAAGTGGGTGTCATTCTACGTTTGGGGAAAACATAAGGGGTCTCTGTTTTTACTTCTACCCTAAATTCTACCTTTTAATTTGTGTTAATCTATTAATAGAATAGCACTTTATAAAATGTGTAAACGTGGAGTGGAGAGACGGCCCAGGGGTTAGAAGTGCTTGCTGCTCTTGCAGAGGATCCGAGTTTGGTCTCCAGCACCCTTGTGTGATGGCTCTCAGCTGCTTATAACTCCAGAAGAGTCCAACAGCCTGAGTTCAAGACCCAGGACCCACATGAAGGTGGACGGAGGACCTTTCACGCACTAGGCAAGCCCCCTGCCAGCATTCCCAGCCAGTATTTTGTTTATTGTTTGTTTGTTGTTTATTGGCAGTGTCTCCAGACTGGCCTGGAACTCATGATCCTTTGGCCTCATCCTCTCCAGTACTGAAAGCACTCTCGTGCACACGCGCACGCGCACACACACGGTGCAGATTAGTGATTTTTTTTTTAAAGCCTTTCTTGCCCTGTTCTAAGTCCTTGTAAATTGTTTCCAAGAAGTTTCTTAGACTTCCCAGTAGGAACTGAGCTCAGCTGCTGTGCGTTGCTGTGTATCGCTGAGACAAGGGAAGCTTGATTAGTAACCAGTGTGTGCTGGCCTGGCTTCTCCAAGACACAGCCAGAATCCCTATAACCAAGTGCTTCGTCTTTATCTTTGAAACACCTAACCTGTCCATCGTGAGGTCCAGACCCGAGTTAGTATCTCAGCCCCAATAAAGGCATGGACAAATGCATGAGTGCGTTAACTGCACCCCATTCTGGAATCTTCCATGCTTCCTAATGTCACACAGTGCTGGCTTCTCTGCAGTGGGGTTGCTCCTGTCTGTCTCTGCCAGCAACATTGCTCTCCCCCAACCCTTCCCTCTTTCTTTACCCAGAATTCATTCTCAGAAAACAAGACATGTCCCTGGGCCCACACACACCTAAAGGCAAATCTACCCAAAGACTTCAGTCATAAGGGCCAATAGTGTCCCTCTTGTTTAGAAACCCAGAAGAAAGGAGTTTTCATTCTTCTCCAAAAGGGGAACTTGGTAAATACCAGGTAACAGAAACTGGCGACTTCCCTGTCTTGCCATCATGGTATCCTGCACAGTGCTATGCACAAGAGATACTCAGGCATTTTTGTCTGAGCAAAGAAAGGAGCCACCCTACCTGAAGCCCTCAGCAAGCAAGCTCGATGCAGGAGAGCAGACCCAGGGCAGAAAGGTCCCTCCACACCCTCCCTCGGTGCCCTGCTCACACTCTGCCAGTTGAGCAGAAACTATGGGGCCTTTGTCACAGATTGGGTGTCATAGATCCCAGTCACCCAGAGCAAGGTGACGACCAAACAGAGGGAAAGCGAAAAGCAAGGCTCCCTGGTTCAGATCCCTCCTCGGAGAGCGTGGGGCTGCATTTGCACTCAGCTCCCAAGACGCAAGGAAAGTGCTGGTGGCAGGGAACATCGTGGCTGAGAGAAGACAACTGCTCTGGAAGTAATCCTAAGATAAACGTAACAATAACGTGGGTCTGGAGAGACGCCTCCGGCTCCGGCTCCGGTTCCAGTTCCGGCTCCATAGTTAAGAGAACTTGATGCTTCTGCAGGGGACCTGGGTTTGGTTTCCATATGACGGCTCACAAACACCTGTAACTCCAATTCCAGGGAGTCTGATGGCCTCTTCTGCCCTCTGTGGGTACTGCACACATACATATATACAGGCAAAACACTCATTCACATAAAGCCAATAAATCTTTAAAATATTAAAATTATTATAACAGAACAACAAAATTGGGTATGATAGCCTCGTGGGAAGAACTTACAAAGCTGGTTCTCAGCATGTGAAATGAGAGCCTGGTCTAGGGAGTGTGAGAGCTGTGAGCACCACGGTGTCTGAGTGAATCGTGTAGGATGCAGCTTTCCACCTAGTGGTGTTGTGGAAGAGACTGTTCCTGCAGAGAAGTAACACACACACACACACACGCATACACGCACGCATCCCAGAAAGGGAACCCATGACTGACCAAAGTAATGATTACACCAAAGTAACCAAAGTCTGTCTTGTTAGACTAGTGAATTTTTATTGGGCTACTAACAAAAGTACGGCATTACAGGAGTAGAGCTGGGGGTTACTTACAGGAGTACAATTGAGGGGTTGCTTACAGGAGTACGGCTGGGGGATTACTTACAGGAGTATGGCTGAGGGGTTGCAGAAGCAGGGATGAGTAAAAGCAGCTGCATCACTGAAAAAGCTCAGTGCAAGGTAAATGATGACTCCCAAAAGCTACAACCCTGGGAACACCTTGCAGGCAGCTGCACAGGTCTGAGAGAGCCCTCTGCAATGCGGCCAGTCTAGAGTCCACTTCCCTGGCAGCAGTTTATTCCTTCTAGAAAGCTGATTTTGGCAGAATTTTTCATCACAGCAACCAGAAAGAGAACTAAGGCAGAGACTTTATTTGGAAACGGAGCTTTTCAGGTGGACTGGGATGGACTCACATAAGCATCCGGTGAGACAGCTATCGCTTAAGATACGGAAGTGAGGCCCTGTGAACATGGAGGCAGAAATGGGAGGGGGGGGCGTCTCCAAGTCGAGGAACTCCAAAGATTGCTTACCCCTTGGTAAGCAATACTAAGCAGGAATGCGGCCCACCTTCCTTCTAGCCTAGAAGGAAGCAACCTTGACCACCCCTCTGATTTTGGACATCCTATATACATGTGCACGCACAGGCATAGACCAGACCACCACCCCACACACTTGGAAGCTGAAGGCCAGGAGAGCTGCTGATGTCATAGTCAAAGGCTAGAGACCCAGTGAGCTGCTGGATTTCATTCCGCAAGGCCACAGGACAGGACTGAGAGCTCCAGGGTCGGAGGACAGGAGATGGATCTCGGCTGAGGAAGGGGTGGGGGTGGACTCACCCTTTCTCCTTTCCATTTTATTTATATCTCATTGGATTAGAAGATGCCCAGCCGCTCTGGCAAAATTAGGCTTCCTTTACTCGGTTCCTGATAGAAATAATACACTATTGCCACACTAGAGATAGTGTGTTACTGGCTCTGTAGGCATCACTTAGTCTAGCCAAGTGGAGTCAGAAGAGTAACCATGATACCCTGGTGGCAAGAATGGCCTTGACCCGACAGGACAACGCTATTGTTATCCAAGTTGAACATTTCGGTACACACTTAGCCACATGCACACTCACCTGTGTAACTGAGGTGTTCTTAATATTTATTTATGCTGTGTGTGTGTGCACGTTCACACGCTTGAATGCATGTCTGTGCACCACATGCACGGAGTCCCCCCGTGGCCAGAAAAAGGCATCAGATGCTCCAGGACTAGAGTTGTGAGCTGTCATATAGGTGCTGGGAATTGAACCCAAGACCTCTGGAAGAACAGCCAATGCTCCTAACCACTGAGACAGCTCTCCCGCCCCTGTGATGTGTTCTTTTGCACTCTTTGGTGTACAGTCAGGGTTTTGTCCCCAGGTTCAAATGATCAGTCCCCTGCCCCATGCTGGCAATAGCAGTAAGTCTGACGCTCAACCCCTCTGTCCTCTCCAGTGTTCTCACCACCCACTACTTACACACAGTCCCCCAGTTATGCCAGGTCTTGGTGGGCAGTGTCAGCCCTGGCTGGTTCTCTAAGTCCATTCTCTGTGGTGGAAAGATATGAAGGACCAAGCTAGGCCAATCTCGGCAAGTTACTGCCTGAGTTGTGGGTCAAGTTCAGGACTCCCAGAGGGGCCACAGGGATGACAGCCAATGTTCCCACCAGACCAGGAAAAGGTCCCATGCCAACAAACCGGGGCCTCTTAATGCAATCCATTCCTGTTTCCTGTCAGCCCCATGCCAGGCTGTCACAAAGTTTGGGGAGAACTATGCTACACATTGTTCCCTCCATGTTCCCAACCAGTCTTCCTTGGCGAGCAGCACAATGGGTTTGTTGCTTCCTTCTCCAGGACAATGGGGCAGCTCCCCCACCCCTGCCATTGCCAGTGATGCTCCCTCGGGCGCTGCATAGTGAGATTCTGTCTTGACTTGTCTGTGCGGGAGACTCGGGGAGAGGAAAAACTAATTCAACCTGGCTGCTCACACACTTACCCACCTCACTCACACCCAGATGCATCGCTTCACTCCAGTGACATTGCACCGTGTGTCTTCTGCCTCATGCACTTTATAAAACCTCAGTGTGTTGTGGGAAGCTCTCTAGGGTGGTGTCTTTGAGCAGTAATACATCCTCTACTCTTCCAGCTGACCTGCTAATGGGAGTACATTTTTGAGAGGATCGTTTGATCACAAAGCAAATAATTACAAGAATTTTGAATTACTTCTCTCAAAAAAACAACGTGTTGGGCCGGGCAGTGGTAGCACACACCTTTAATCCCAGGACTCAGGAGGCAGAGCTAGCAGATCTCTGAGTTTTCAGACAGCCTGGACTATAGAGTGAGTTCCAGTGACAGCCAGGGCTACACAGAGAAACCCTGTCTTGAAAAATCTTATAAACAACAACTTGTTAGGACAGTATGAGGGCTCAACAGATAAAGGCGTACAGTGATACACAGATTTTGACCTCTGGAATAAGAAATGGACTCCCAGAAGCTGTCCTCTGACCTACATGTGCACTATAGTAACACACACACACACATGCATGTGTGTGTGTGTGTGTAATTTAAACAACTTAAGAAAAAAGGGGTTTATCTTGAATCACAATTTGAAGGTCCAGTCCATCAGAGAGAGGAAGTCATGGGAGCAGGAAGCACAAGGCTGGTCACACTGTGTCCGCAGTCAGGAAGCAGCAAGTGTGGGGGGTCGGTGCTCAGGTGTTTTCTCTTTTTCATTCAGTCTCAGCCCCTCGATTGTGGGATAATACCACCCACATTCATAGTGGCTCCTCCAACCGCATAGATCTTCACGGACACTCTCAGGGAGATGTTTCCATAGTGATTCTAAATCTAGTCAAGCTGACAGTGAAGCAGAGCCATTAGGAACTTCAGCAGTGAAAGAGCACATGGCCTCACCTCCCAGATTCGAGCATCAGTGAAGAAGGCAAGTGTTCTCACTTCCCAGATTCAAACATCAGTGACCAAGTGGTTTCACCTCCCAGATTCAAACAGACACCACTGAAGAAGGCATGCAGTGGGTTTTTTTTTTTGGGGGGGGGTTGCTTTTTGGGTTTTTTTTTCTTTGTTTGTTTTGTTTCTATTTAGACAGAGCCTCACTCTATAGCCTTTGCTGGTCTGGAACTTGTTATAGAGCCCAGGCAGGCCTTAAATTCATTGAGATCTGCCTGCCTCTGCCTCCTAAGTGCTGTGATTTAGACCTGTGTCTATAAGTCTGGCTTGTTTGTTTGTTTGTCTGTTTGTTTCGAGATAGGGTTTCTCTGTGTAACAGTTGTGTCCGTCCTGGAATTCACTTTGTAGATCAGACTGTCCTCAAACTCACTGGGATCCACCTGCCTCTGCTTCCCAAGTGCTGGGATTAAAGGTGTGCACCACCACCAATAAGCTTATTTGTTTTTTTTTTTCACTACCCAGCTTGAAGCTTAACTTTTAATTTAGTAATTTTTTTGGTTTTGGGTTTTGTTTTGCTGTTGCTTTTGTTTGTTTGTTTGTTTTCAGTTTTTCCGAGACAAGATTTCTCTGCGTAACCCTGGTTGTCCTGGAATTTACCAGGCTGGCCTTGAACCCAGAGATCTGCCTGCCTCTGCCTCCCAAGTGCTGTTAACTTAGGGGTTATGGATCCTGCATAAAACATAATTTTTCTCACCTCTGAGCTGTACCCTTGGGGAGAATAGGTAGGAAATCAAAGCTCCTCACTACAGCTAAAAACAAGGGAAAGCCTGGGGGTTGAAATAGGAAATAAGGGCTGGAGAGATGGCTCAGTGGTTAAGAGCACTGGCTGCCTTTCAGAGGTCCTGGGTTCAATTCCCAGCAACTTCATGGTGGCTCACAACCATCCATAATGAGATCTGGTGCCCTCTTCTGGCCTGCAGGCATACATGCAGGCAGAACACTATACATAATAAATATTTTTTTAAAAAAATAAAGAAAGAAAGAAGATGACATGAAATCCATATTCTTTCTGAGGCTCTCAGAGCCAGAAGGGACTTCCCAAGCTGTTATCCAGCCTCTGCTGCATTCTCTAATGGCAGAGAACTTCCTGTTTTACTGAGAAAGCCCATCCGCCCCTATCTTCCTTCGTGTCTCCAATGACTGTTTCAGGGTCTTTCCTGAACTCGGGGTGTAGCTCGGGTGCCAGAGTGCTATTCCCAACACTGCTTAAACCTGTGTGTGATGGCATACACCTGGGATCTCAGCACTTGGGAGGTCAACAAAGCATCGGGAGTTGAAGCCCAGCTCTGTCCACAGAGCAACCAACCTGGGCTACCTGAGACCCTGTTTTCAAAACACAGTCTCTCCTGTGTCTCCGCCTGTACAAACTAGACCCCTCTTTAGCCCCTTTGTAGAGGGAGAGGCAACCCTATCTTCCCTTTCTTTTTAGTCCACGTCATGACAATGGATTTTTTTTCAGGGGTGTGGGGAGGCAGGGACAAAGTCCTTCTCCATTGCCTAGGCTGGACTTCAATTCCTGGACTAATGCGGTCCTGGCTTAACCGCCTGAGCAGCTGGAACAATAGATGTGCACCAGCACACCAAGACTAACCAATTCTTTTATCACAGGTAGGTCAGACTAGCATGATGCCACAGAGCTCTTGAGTGGGCGCAATGGCGGGTCCCCACAGCTCACATGCACAGCGCAGGCCTGAATTAGCAAGGTCTCCAAAGTGGTTTTTCCCTGGGGATTCTGTTGAGCTGGTTTTGCCTTCCCTCTGGCTCTGGAGGTAGCGCTTTATTCTACTCAACTGGAACCCGGGGGCTGAAGAGAGGAAGTTTCCCTCCCAGTACCCTTGTCAGGTGGCTAACTCCCATGCGGAGACTGGGGAAGGGGACGTGATGAGCCTTCTCCCCCCCTCCTCACCACCTCTCACTTGCATGCCAGTGAAAGCAAGCGTGGCATCGTCTCCCAGCCTGAGGAGGGAAGCGGGGACATGAGCAGTGACTGCTGTGTGCCAGGCCCTTGGGATTTGAGCGCTTCCTCAGCTCTGTTCTAAGAAGGGGGAAGGCTAGCTTCACAGATGTTAGCCCCTCGGGCATCTAGGGGGTAGAGCTGACCCCCAGCCCCCTCCGGTCTCCAGCTCACACCATTTCCCAGGATGCACTGCCACCCTGCCAAGCCTCATAGTCACACAAAGAGGGACTATTTACTGTCCACTGTCACGAAGGCAAAACTTCAGAGTGCCAGAGGTAACTTGGCCCACACTCAGAGCTGGGTGTAGTAGAGGCAGAAAGGAGCACAGGCCTGTCCACCTCCAGAAAACTCTTCCCTCAAGGACCAGGTGGTGGGTGAGGAGTGTTTTATTATTTTATTCCTCCCAGTTGATTGGGAGCCATGTGGGCCAGATGTGGTAGGTGACTCACGCCTTTAATACCAGTACTCAGGAGCCAGTGGAAGGTGCATCTCTGTGAGTTCAAGGCCAGCCTGGTCTACGTAGTGAGTACCAGGACAGTCAAGGCTATGTAGACAGACCCTGTCTTAAAAAAAGAAAGGAAGGAAGGAAGAGTGTTTATGTATGTCACCCCCATACCCTAGGGACGCCCTGGTTGGATCCACACAGGTTGGCATGGCTCCATGAGTCTATTACTAGCAGGGACATGAACGGTAGAAACAGATCATAGAGTGTGGTCCCCAGGAAAGGAAAAGATGGGGTCCAGGTGTCTATGAATCAGACTGTGAATAGTTGGAGGATATGGCTACTGAGTGTGGACATTGAGGGGCAGGCCTGGGCCATGAAGGGCGGGGACAGAGTGACAGCCCTCAACTGAGGGCATGGCTGGCCACTGGAAGAAGCTCTCTGCAGGTCTGAGAGCTGAGCTTCCAGCTGACCACGGCCAGCAGCCCCTCCTTATGCAGTTCTGACCAGCACTATGGGAAGCCTGGGGACTCGGAGCTTGGATAGAAAGTCACCCCCTCCTAGAGGAGCCTGTGGTAAACCAGGCAGGCAAGTGGGCAAGACAATGTGTGATGAGCCCTAGGAAAGATGCCAGCGGGGCACGTGGGGGCATCCTGGGGTGGCCAGGGATGGTGGCTGAGATAGAACAGGAGCAGGGAGAAGAGCTAAGGCCTTGGGTTGTGTGTGGTGGTGCAAACCATGATAACCAACATGGAGACCCAACCAGGCCGTAGAGTGAGGCACTGAGCAGAAAGAGGCTGCGATTGTTCCTTAGGATGAGAGAGTCTCCCAACGCCACACGCCTGACTTCAAGAGCCTGCTCTATCCGGGCAGCCTCACTGTGTGGGCCCTGAACCTCAATTGCACAGGGATAGGAGTGGCCGCTCAAAGTCCTGGATTTCTGGAGAAGAGATTTGCCTTCCCTGGGGCCTGCCATGCGTCACCGTTCCCATCACCCACTGAGCCCCAGAAGCCTCAACTGCTGTCTTTCTCTTGGGGGATTCTCAAAACATCCCAGGGCCAGGTTGTCCAGTCCTGGGACTCGGGACAACGGGAATGGAAGGAAATTCTCACACACAGCTCTCCCCCAGGAGTTTGCTAAGTTCCCAGGCTGACAACTGGCAACCCTCAGAAGTCCGTCCCCCACTCCCTTCCTCCTCTCCTCCCTGCCTCCTCCTCCCCCTGCTGCCCTTCTCCAGTTTAATAACTTCCACATGGGCTCTGGCGGCTGGAGCCAAGCCCTCAGCATTGTCTGAAACCTCCAAATTTAGAAGAAATATGAAAATTGTCAACCACTCCTTCCTTAGGGGGTAAAAGAAACATTCGGCACCAGGGGCAGGTCAAGGCGAGGCAGTCACGTGGCTGGCGCCCTGGCCAATGGGGGGCCCAGGGAGGACTCAGCACCCGCCTTGCCCCAACACCAGGCTCGCTTCTTCAGCTCATATAAGGTAAAAGGCAGCGAGGCCTCCGTGGCCAGAGAGCCACGGGCAAGGGGCTGAGCAGAGGGGGGTCCGATGCCAGTTGCTTAAAAATGCCCCTGTGGCATCAAGAGGTGCCAGAACCGAGTCAACTTAGTTGAGAAGCAGTGACACCCACAACCATACCCCAAATAAGCTGAGCCTCCTCCGAAGAGTCCTCCCTGGGCCAGACAACAGCCAAGGTAAGGACCAGCCACAGACATGGGTCCCAGAGCGGGCCTCCGGGGCTTCCTCCCAGGGGCTCTCATCCGTGCTGTCTGCTAATTGCTATGGGCCGTCTGCCTTTCTGGATCTCAGCTTCCCTATTTGTACCAGGACTGGATCCGGTGACCACCAAGCATCGGCCCAGCCCTGGCCAGCTCCAGTTCTATGGGCTTGTTGACTGCTTCTGCTGAACGAGGAACAAGGGTTTGAGCGGATGTCCTTGGCAGGCCAAGCTCCCACGGTGCCGCATCTGGGCAGTTTGCCCTGTCTCTACCTTGACAGCACTCTGCCTTGTTGTACCAGGTGTTCACACCACAGCTCCAAGAATCTGGGGCTCCTGTTAAGGAAAACTGTTTCCGAATAACGGTTCTAAAAGCCATAGCTGGGGGCGGAGACAGCCGTGCATGCTCAGGCAGCCAGGGAGTAGAGGCCAAGGGCTGGAAGGATGGGGTGCTGGCTGTGTGTAAAAGGTGGGGAGCTAGGAAGGGACACTGAGGAGGTAGGGCCTGAACTTTATCCTAGATCTGCACTCAGTGCTGGACTATATGGCTCTGGGCTGGTACCCATCCCTCTCTGGGCCATCGAGATGTGTAACTGGACCAAATGGTCTGGAGATGCAGGGTGTGGCTTCTGAGCCATCTGGGGGGAAGTTCCCTCAGGATTCCTGGGCTATACCACCTTTTGGGCATAGACTCTGCATTCAAGCAATTGGTCCAAACCCCGAGGGCTGTTGGAGGCTTAGAGCCTACGTGATGGAGAACACCCTCAGGGTGTCTAGCTGAAGCCCTAGATCTGGTTTCTCCAGGGTGCTATGCGGCCTCTGGTGGGCTCAGAGATGATGTCTGACACAATAAGCCACAAGTGCAGGACCTCGGGCCAGGAGTGGGGTGAAGAAATCACAGACGGTTTCCAGAACCTTGGAAGGCAGCAGGCCTGTGATGGGCAGTGTGGGGGCCAGGCGGAGCTCAGATTGGAACACACAGACAACATCCAACTCCTTGGGCCTACACAGTGGCCCCATCTGGGCCCCGAACGGAGCACGGTCCTCCAGTTTCAGATTGCACAACATCTGTTCCTCTTGCACCTGGTCACCCAAGGCCATATGGCTCAGAAGGGATGGGGCCCCAACTCTGGGCTTGTTTACATATCAAAGTGCTTGATCCAGTCGTCAGCCTTCTCGGCTTAGGGCCTTCATCTACGGAATAGGTGCAGCTTAAGTTCTCGCCCCATATGGCCGTGGTGAGGAATAAGAGACATATGTCTCAGCTATGTTTAGGGAGAGGAAATAAGACAGAGGGAGGAAATGCCCAGAGCACCCTAGAGAGAGAAGACTCTAGAAAGAGAGAGGTAGAATAAAGCCCAGTCAGAGGAAACAAGCAAAGGGCAACCAGCTTTACCGCTCCCTTTGCTGTCATCCTCTTCCTGGAGTTGGGCACAAGCAGTGCAAGGCCCCAGAACTGCAGAACAACCTGAGACCATCAGAACATAGCTGGGCATCGGTAACCCTGGAGAGAAATCATAGCTCTGGGTCCATCCGCTGACAAGAGAGCCAGGGCAGAGTGTGTGTCTGCCCAGCCAGGGGCTCCTTCAGGTACTGTAAATAAGAAATCTATTTCTTTCTTTTGTTGAGCGCTTAGGAGATCCAGGAATCTGAGAGTTTTATATGAGTTAACTCAATGGAACCTTGCGGGACTTGGGGAGCTAGGTGCAATCGTTCCCATTTTACAGAGAGGTCCGACATTGTCTATGTGTGTTGGCTGCCCTAGGCTGCTGTCTCTACCAAGAGCCTCCAACTTCTCGCTTTGCTTATGGCCACGTGGACCTCCTAGCAAGTGTCCAATAAATTTCATGGGTAGAATATATATGGGGGCATTCCCAAGAGCCAGACACCAGCTAAATAGTTTGCATTATTGTAGTTCTCCTAAGATTATTCTTGGGAGAGATTAAATGATCCCAGTGTCCCTGGCCATGGCATAAACCACAACCCACCCAAGCTCTCACCACAAGAAATTAGGTAGGAGGCATAAACCCAGCCTCCACCTGCCTGCTCTTCACCTGGCCCCCAGATCCCCTGAGTGTTGATAAGGAAGCTATCTATACAGGTGGAGGAGACTCCCATCTCAGGATTTGTACTGGGGCTTGGTGAAAGTACACTGCTGTCCCTCAGCCATGAGATTGTCCCAAAACAGACGAGACAGGCGCTGGCCACACTACAGCTCTGTGGCCAACCTCAGCCCTTGCTGGTTTGTTCTGGAGAAAAGCTAATACAGCTCTGCAGAATGGAAAGTTCCAGACCCTGAGTTGCCACAGACCCAAGCTTTGAGTGACTCCCCAGGTGAGACTCCTCCTAGGAGGAGGTCTCCAAGGTCCTTGATGGTGGCCCTGCCACTTCTTCAGTTTTCCATCAGAACTGGCTGGGGCTCAGGTCCTGGAGTGGCTCAGAGAACCAGGAGAAAGCTGGGTGTGGTGGCACAGCCTTTAATCCCAGCACTCAGGAGTTAGAGGGTCTGTGAGTTCAAGGCCAGCCTGGTCTGCCTAATGAGTTACAGGTCAGCCAGGGCTACATCCTGGAAGGAGAAAGAGAAAAGGAAGAGAGGAGGAATAAGAAATATTGCCCTCTGTTTTTCGTTCAGTTTTAAACAACCTCCTGAGCACAGAGGCCAGAATTTTTCCAGTTTACACCTGGAATGGGGCTGCTGGGTCCTGGGTGTGGCCTGAAGATAGCATGGGAAGTCACTGTGTGTGTGTGTGTGTGTGTGTGTGTGTGTGTGTGTGTGTGTCTTCCATCAGGCTATTTCTACATGTCTCACTGAGCAAACCCCTCTCCTTGACCACACTAGAAATGGTAGGATTTCTTGAAATACATATATTACCTACTTTATCTTGTATACATCAAATAATGTAAGAAGAGGGCTGAGGATGTAGCTCAGTAGTAGAGCATTTGCCTAGCATTGGTTCATTCCTAGCACCACAAAAGAAGGAAGGGGAGCGGGGGAGTGGAGGAAGAAAGGCAGGCACACTCATATGTATTCTGCAGGCTGCCGACCCTCGTCCGCACGGATGCCTAGGAATTTGCTCTATCAGAGCGCCTATATTGCACACTCTTAGGAAGACCCCGGGGTGGGATCTGAGCAATAGTCACCCTGGTGCACCCTGGGTCCAATGCCTGGGAGTGAGCTGCAGGGCTTGGTTGGGTAAAGTCCGGGAGCAAACCCTGCTCACAGCCTGTTTAGACAAACCCCACAGGGACCTGACATCAACACACATTGCGAGAGCTCTGGGGTCAGCCATTTTTCTGCTTGCAAAAGAATCCACTGGTGGCGGTCTCACAAACACCACAAACCTTTCCTCCAATTTGAAGCATGCCTGACGCGCAGTGGGCCTCGCCCACGCTGCTGGCCCACACAATCCAGCTTTTTCGAGCCACTTTTGGGTCTGTTGAGAATGCAGCGTTCTGTGGGGGTGGAGTAGGGGTCCCCCCGGAACGAGGCAAAGATGATCAGGGTGCTGTAAGAATGACGTGAAACACAGGAAGCCGGGATCACAGGGCCAGGTTTGCATGGGCTGCTTGGGTTTGAATCTTGCATTTGCCTGGAAGCAGCTGCCGTTCCGTGAGCCTCCGTTACTCCACCTGTAAAGTAGGGAGATTGAGCTTCTTAATAACAAGGATAGTTTACTGCGCTGATTGGATCAGAGGAGCTGAAGCTCTTGAAGCCCACAGAGCAATGACTGGCACACGGGGCCTATGCCCCAGGCAGCTTCTCAGGGAGGGGATGTCCTGCTGAGTCCTACCTAGCTTCATGCGCTCTCATTCCTTCAAAAAGAACAGTTCTCAGGGCTGAAGAGATGGTTCAGTGGTTAAAAGCACTGGCTACTCTTCCAGAGGACCTGGATTCAATTCCCAGCATGCACATGGCAGCTCACAACTGTCTGTAACTCCAGTTCCAGGGCTCCTGACATCCTCACATAGGAATATGTGCAGGCAAAACACAAGTGAACATAAAATAATAATAATAACTATAGAAAAAAAGAGAAAAATAACAATTTCAAGCCAGGTTTGTTAGCATATGCCTGTAATACCAGCACTCAGAAGGATCAAGAATTCATGGCCATACTCAGCTACATAGTGAGTTCCAGGCTAGCCTAGGCTATAGGAGATCCTGTCTCAAAAATCAGTTCTCACACTGGGGGTGTTGTGAGCCAATGGCGGAGTGCTTGCTTGGCACACGTGGGACCCTGTGTTCCATTCCGGGCACTTTCATTTCCCACACAACCAAGTTGCTGTGTATCAAGGCCTCCTTGCCCTGTGCCCTGAGGTACGTACCTTCATCCCTCGGGTCAGCCAGAGGCTCAGATGGGTCTGATTATTTGCTCAAAGTCACACAGGGATTTGATTTGGGACTCAACTCCAAATCTGGCTGACTCCATATGCTTAACCGTGGTTTTCTAGAACCTGACAAGAGGGCCATGAATCAGAGAGCCAGTTCCAGCTTGATAGGACGCTTGGCATTTAGGAGAGGAAGCTCTGTGCCTTCTGAATTTAGAATAACTGTGGTGACAAACTATGGTGACAGAACCCCCGACTGTCAGCCAGCTGAGGACAGAAAATGCAGATTCCAGCCAGACCCTTCCGGTGAGCACCTGCTAGGTAGTCTGTGTCTGATTGGAGACCTCATCAGTCCTGGGCTGCCCCTTCCCCACAGAGCCCTTCAGAGTCTTGCAGAAGGAACCAGTGAGCTAGGTCAAGGAAAGGTGACCCTATGGCACCTCCCCACGAGTCATGTCTATCTGTACTGCTGTGGACCCTAACTGTATCACAGGGAGGCAGCTAAAAAGAACCCTGCCCCGCCGAACCACCTCTCTCTGCCCTTCCTCCTCTGCTTGGACCAGCCAAACAGGAATGGGAACAAGTCAAAACAGGCTACCTTGCCTAAGTAGTAGCCAGGGTGCCACCCCTCATTTGCCAGCCTTTCTTGAG